CACACTCCCATATTGTCTGTAACAGGCAGAGTTGAGTTGTTGGGACAGAGACTCAACATGGGTGCCGGAGCCCCAAATATTTACTATCTGACCCTGTAGAGAGAAAGTTGGCTAGGTTCTGATATGGGTTAACAAGTAAAGATTTCTGATTCATTCTTCACTCATGGTGCGTATGATATGATCGTATTAGAGGTGTGATTTAATAAACTATATTTGATTTTGATTGTGCTGTCTGAGTATAGGGGGATATAAAACTTCAAGTTCAGATGCTACACAAAGTCAACATCATTAATAACAGCCTGTTATTCCCCACCAACGGTGTCACTGCCAACGGTTTGCTGGGGGGCCCTCAGAGGTTTCCCTTCGCTTGTGCTCATTATGCATTTATGCGTTTGTTTTTACAAAACCGGTATTTTACACACATACACACATGCTGTCGCATTACCTTTTTTATTTTTTTCACATTTGCTAGTGTAAGATATTTTTTCTGACAGTAAATACTCTTTTGGCTGTGTTTATTGAATCGTGTGGATAATACCGCATTGCATTTCACTGATCCCTGTCTTATTGGACATTTAGGTCATTTCCAAGATTTTGCAGTGATGTCTCCAGTATTTTGCAATGATATTTCCAGTATTTTGCAATATTTGCTCCCCTGCAGGGAGCATCCGTGTTCATAGATCTTGGCAAGCATGTCTAATGATTTTCTTGAGATAAATTTCTGGAACCAGAATTGCTGAGTCGAGGGTTACGTATGTTTTGCATTTCAGGATGTGTGTTCAGCGTGTTTCAACACGGCCCTTAGAGGTGAGTGTTAGGCTGGTCTCCCCAGCACGCAGCCCAGCACAGCTGTTATGAAGTTAGCCATTTGGGGCTCTGGGCTGATAACCACCAGAGGCTTGGAGTTTGGGGAGCTACTGGTCTGAGCAAGTAGTTTTTAAACCTGCCAAGTTCTGAGGTTTTTCAAGAGCATTCTCATGTCCATTTCCCTACTGTAATAGACACTTCCTCCTCAGAGCCTCTCCAGGCATCCCCAAGCATCCCTGGAAAGGTGGGGGCAAGTGGATGTTGGGGGAGGGGGCGCTGGGAGGAGCTCCAGGACAGGAACTTGGAGTCCTAGTGCTGCCTTTCCTCCCTGGGAGAACTGCAGCAATTCCTGTGTTTGTGCCTCAGTTTCTCATGTGAAAACTGAATCATCTCAAGAGTCCTTCTTGCTTTAAAGGACACGATGTGATTATCCTCGTGTGACAAATGACAACTGAAACGTGGGTGGGTGTTGGATGGCTATCCATCACGGGTGCACATCACGAGGGTCTGGCTGATGTTCCAGAGGGGGACTCCCCGGGACTCCTGTGGGCCTCAGGTGGATGGCTCTTCATCCTGAGTTTCTCCAGTGTGTGTTCAGACTGCCGGTCGGTATCTGCTTGCCTGTGGACAGTGAAGGTCTTTGTAGCGCCTCTGAGGCCAAACTGACTTGGAAGAATATCCTGCCTTCGAGCCAATTACAAATCCGACCTTTAGAAAGTGAACATCTGCTTTGTCCAGACATGGAGGCACAGAGAGGTTAAGTAACTTACCCAACGTCACACAGCTCCCATGTAATGAATCCAGACATTCTGGCTCCAGAAACCGTACTTGTCCAAGGGAGACTGGAAGGAAACAGGTCAATTGTAATTATGATATTGTGGGAAATTCTACAGCAGTGTCGTCCACCAGAACTTTCTACAGTGATGGAAATGCTCAGTGTCTGGGCTGTTCACTGGGATAGCCACATGTGGCTACGGAGCCCTTGACATGGCCGGTGCCACTGAGGGACATTCTTTGTATTTTTAAATTTGAACAAATTTAAATTAAATTCAAATAGCCACATGTGGCTAGAGGCTACCATATTAACTAGCACAGATAGAGGGACTTGGGATCTAGGGGATGGTTCAGGGAGGGCTTCCTGGAAGAAGAGCCATCAAAGTTGAACTCTGAAGGGTAGCTGAGAGGTGGCGGCTGCTCCAGCAGGTCTGGAGGTAAGAGAGAGTGAGTGGCCTGGGGCATAGAAGGGTGGCACAGCCAAGTGGAAGGGCCCGGACTGGGGGAGTGAGGGAGAGAGGAGCCAGGGGTGCTGCCCTTGGGAATCTCAAGTGTGGTGTTAGGCGGTGGAGGGAAAAGGCACTCATCCCTGCCTGTGCACGAATCCTAAACCTTTGCAGAAGGGCCCACGGAAAGGGATGGATGGAAACCCACATGTTGCTGCTGCACACCATTAATACCAACACCACTGCCACCCGCACTGCCTCCCTTGCCTCCAGACTATCCGAGGAAGGTCAGAAAGCAATTCCCCCACCTCCCACCCTGATTCCTACCCTCAGCATTCTACCAGCCTTGCTCTTCTGATTTCCAGAGGCCCCACCTGGACCTCCCTTCCTCCTACCCTGAGCACTGAAAGATCCCCCATCCCTGGGGGAAGGACAATGAAAATGGTTCTGATCACCAGGCTCCTGGCTCCTAAACTGAATGGTTTCCCGAGATTATCTCCTTGAAGCCACGCAACAAGCGTTGCTTTTCTGAGGAGACTGAGGCTTGAATGGGTGGAGCCCCTCAGCCAGGCCACACGGGGCGGGGGGGGGGGGGGGGGGGTCGGGGGGAGGTTATGGGGGCACAGTGGAGACAGCAAGCACTCCTCTTCCCCCTGAGCCGTGACCCAGAGCCTCCTGCTGAGCTTAGCATGGGGGGAGGGGACAGACGCAAGACCCCTGCATGTGCTCCGGGCAGCCATGCCAAGCCCAGAAGGAACCCCTGGAGGCCCCAACCTCTGGCTTCTGAATCTGACCCATGCAGGGGATTCAGTTAGGGAATGCCTGATTCTGTGACATCTTTGAGAAACAGTGAGCAACTGGGAGCATGCACAGATGACTACTTCCATTCCAGGTCCCTTGGAGAATTCTTTTCGGGGTGCAGGGTGTCTGGAATGTCAGGTGGTCTTTCAAGGCAAAACCCTCCCTCGTTTCCCCTAGTGGGGACTGACTTCATCCCAAAAACGTGCATACAGTTACCTCCCCACCCCTGCACTGCCCATGGGCTTGGCAATTGGGCAGCCTGTCCCACGGCCGGCTCACTCCTCAGGAGTCAAAGTCTTAAAAATAGGCCACCCCTTGACCTGGTGATTCTGTACTTAGGAATCTCTCTTGTGGGAATAGTCACAGAGATGTGTCACCTGAACCTCAAGGACATTCGTCATGTTGTTGCTTATAACAGCAAAACACACACACACACACACACACACACACACACACACACACCCCTAAATGCCCAGCCGTGGGGGATTGGTTCCATGAACGGTGCTGAGTTCAGCCAGTGGTATCTTCTTCAGCCATTTAAAGATGAGGATTTGGATGAAGTGACCCAGTGGAAATTCTGGGCAGGACTGTGCCAGAGTCCTGTCCATGGGTGACGGGTGTTTTTAAAGTGTTCTTTGTGCATTTCTGTAATTTCTAAATGTTTTGTAACGAACACGTATTCTTCTGGTGACTTAGAGAAAGCATTCTGCAGGCAGGGAGTGACACTGGCATTGTTCGAACATGAACATTAGCTGTCATTCGCGTCCTCTAGCGCGACCAATTATCAGAGGCAGCTGAGGGTTTTAGTCCAAATTCCTGTCCTTGCATACACCCCTCCCATAGCATCCCCTTGAGCACGATGGGGTACCCGAGTATCCCCAAACGTTTCATTCCCCTGGACCACATAGACTTGTTTAACCAAGGATGGTTTCATGGAAGCTGCGCAAAAGCATGGAGTGTGGACGAAGGTGATAGAACATTCCGGCCTCAAAGCTGGCCTCAGCTAAGTTACAGCCTCAGGGGCTGTGTCTGTGTCGTGACCACCCCCCAGCCCTGGTTCCCGGGTGCCTGCTACATAGGAGGTGCTCAGTAAATTTCTGTGGAGTAATTAACCTCTATATTGAACTTTACGTGGTACAACAGGGAGTCCAGGGTAGGCAGGGAGAGCTCAGCAGGGGCAGAGACCACTGTGGGTTGTAACGGCTTTGACCAAGAGGATGGGTAGGAAGAGGGAGGGGCACAAGCAAAAGCACAGAGGCCGGGATATGTGAGGCTTGCGTGGGACTCAGTGAGGAGGTCAGGGAGGGTGGGAGGAAGGGTTTGTTTGGGGTAGATGGTGGAGAGATGGCACTGGAGAGGAAATGTGGGGCTCAGTTACAAGGGCTGTTGGATTTCCTCTGGGGGACAGTAGGGAGCCATTGTAGGTTATTGAGCAGGGAATGGGCTTTTAACTTGCCAAAGTGAACAGGGTAGGGAAACTAGCAGTTCAGTCATTTAATGGAGCTCCGTGGCTGCCCACACTGTGCCAGCACTCCTTCCAGGTGCCCCGGGCAAGGGCAGAGGCAGCCACTGAGCAGGTAGATCAGTTTGCCTGGGGTGCAGTGGTGACCAGTTTGGACACGGACCTAAGCCTCCTGCCCGGATTTGAGTTCTGCTTCGCCATGCACTGGCTCTTTGATTTGGGACATGTCACTTCACTGGTCTGAGCCTCCATGTTCTCATCTGGAAAATGGGATTGTAATCAGGATGGCCAGGGAATTTCAGTTCAGTGGGGTGGTGTACAGACAGCTTGGTCGACACCGGGCATGTTAAATGCTCTGCGCATGCTGTGTTGGTGGTGGGAACATGGGGACGGGGGACAGCTGAGGGAGTGCCCCGAGGATGGGCAGCGTGGTGCCCAGCAGGACCCTGCGTGCCGGGGAAGGTGATACCTTCATCCCAGCTTGCGTTTCTTTAACACCGACGGGCCTGCCTCCTATGGTTTCTTGGGCACATTGGGACAGTTGGTCACTCAAATGCCCACCCCAGACCAGCCTCTGAGCACAGTAGAGAGCTGGGCGGTGGGGGGGGGGATTGAGCTGAGGGTGATGCCATGTGATCTGTGTCAGCCAGGGACTGGGTTCTGAGCATCTTCCCTGCTGAAAATCTCTCCTCTCTGGCTTGTCTCCACAGGACCAGCTGAAGCAGTGTTTCTCCAGGCGGCCCCCCGAGGCCAAGGACACCGACACCCTTGTGCAGGAAGCTGACAGCCAGTATGGGACATGGACAGACCAGCGCCAGAGCGGGGAGAGGTAGGGCCTGCGGAGCTCCCGGCTGCGGGGTGGGGTGTCTGGATGGAAGGCAGCATGACCCCCGTGCCCTCTCATTTCTCTATTACTCGGACCTGTGCTATCTGTAAGCAGCAGAGTAATCTGTTCTTGTCGGAAAAAAATTTAGAAAGTACAAAAAAATTATTTTAAAAGGATACGCGAAATGTCCAGGATAGGTAAATCCACAGAAAGAGAGAGAGTAGATTAGCTGCCGGGGGCTGGGAGTGGCTAGGTAGGGGCGACCTAGCCACCTTCCTTTTGGGAAGATGTTCCAGAATGACATCGTGTGATGGCCAACTTTGTTATGTGTATCTCACCACGATGAAAGGACTTACAAAGAAAATGAAAACTACCTATAATCCCAGCACACAGGCCATGAATGAAGACGTCAATGCTTCTCTTTCGATGTCTGTCTAGACTTTATTCAGTGTGTCTGTGTGTGTTTACAAATAGAGCAACATATTCCACATGTTGTTTCATAAGCTGTGTCTTGCATTTAATACTGCCCCAGCGGATGGCTCATAGGGCCCTCGGATGTCTGCCTGGTTAGGACTATTGCAGAAGCACTACAGCCTGCACACAGGAGTCAGGCAGCTCAGAATTCTAGCCCCACCCTAGCTGCCGATGGGACTCTGGGTAAATGAGTCTATGCTTTGCAGAGTTGACATTCCTCCTCCATTGGAAGGGAACGATTGGGTGGACACTGCCAGTTCTCAGCTCACGTCTTCCGTAGCCCAGGGCCCCAGGATCTCGTGGTCATGCGACCATGGTCAGGGTCGCGGGATCTTTTGAAGTCAGAGGGACCTGGATCGACTGCAGCATGGCACCGTGCTAGCTATGTCTCTGCGGGACTCGGTTTCCTTGGCTGTGGGTCGTATGCCCAGGGAGCGCGTGTAATCAGCCCCAGGTCCCCTGCCTGCTTCCCCTGCACTCCCTGCCGGGAATGGTCACAGGCCGCTACTGGGTTATGTCGCACAGCTGATGATGTGAGAGTCAGGAATTGAAGAAGGGTTCGAAGAAGGCAAAGGGAAGCAAGGGTTTATTGTAGTATCAGTGAAAGCTTTATCTCGCTGAATCCGTGACGTTAATGAGCGTACTTAAATGTCCCTAGACTTCACTTAGATTTCCTGCAAGAGCCCACTGGACTCTGAGTCCGAAAGCCTGCGTCTGGGTTTTTCCCCCACCCTGGGCCTCCATTCCCCTCAGCTGGTCTCTGGGACCTGGGTTCTCTTCTGTGGGTGTGTGCCCCCTTTTCTTACCCAGGGGTACTGCAGCGCCTCCTTCCTGGCCCTCTCTAGCAGCTGCTGAGTCCCCAGCCCTGGCCAGCAGCGCCATCTGCTGCCTCCTTGGTGGTATTTCCCGCAGGTCAGAGAAGTGGGGGGCGTTGCTTTAGTCCCCCACCCCCCACCCCCACATCCTGCCTGTTCTGAGTAATAAAATCATCCCAGAGTGGACAGAGCATAGACGTGCTCCTGCCGTGAAGCACCAAGTTCAGGTTCTGTGCAACGGTGCTGCCTGGGCGGCTTCCAGGGCAGACCCTCCTCTATTAGGGATGTGGTGTCTGGTGCCCAGCTGCCCTTCCTCAGGGTTGGCTCTCCCGAGCTCTTGACTTTGGTGTCTTTTTAATGGGGAGCGCTTTTTAATTTGATGACATAATTTATTTATACATATCTGTCTTACGTGGTTCTGGTTATACAAGCTATACTTAAAAACATTTCCATGGGAACATTTCCATGGGCATGGATTCTGGAATGAGTTATGCCCCTGTGGGCAAAGCCATGTCACACTTCTGTGCCTTGGTTTCCTCTTCAGGTTAATATTCAACTTCTTGGGGCTAATCCTACCTGATAGCATTGTGCTGGCCGTAGTAGGATTATAGGGTGAGCCTCACAGGATTGGGGAGAGAATTCAGTGACTCTGGGGTAGCAGTGCCTGGCACGTAGTAAGTGCTCAGTAAATCTCGACTGCATGCATGCATGTGTGAATGAATGGAACCACGAAGATAGATCCCCCTGCCTCCTGCTCCACCACAAGTGACTGCTGGTGATTTTTTTTTAACTTTTTTTTTTTTTTTTAAGATTTTGTTTATTTGGCAGAGAGAGAGAGCACACACAAGCAGGGGAAGTGCCAGGCAGAGGGAGAGGGAGAAGCAGGCTCCCCTGCAGAGCAGGAAGCCCGATGTGGGGCTCGATCTTAGGATCCTGAGATCATGACCTGAGCTGAAGGCAGATGCTTAACCAACTGAGCCACCCAGACACCCCTGCTGGTGATTTTTTGAGGACATCAGCGCATTCCAACAGAAATACAAGTCCAGCTGCAAATGGGAGGCATCTGTCATTTAAGATGTCCTAGTAGGCACCTCAAAAGAGTAAAAAAGAAACAGAATTCATCTTAACAATTTAATTTAAATAACAATATTTTAGGGGCTCCAGATCTGAAATATTATCATTTTAGCATGCATCAGTATTTTATACTCTCTCTCTCTCTTTTTCCCCCAAAGTGTTGGGAATCCAATGTGAGCTCTATACTCTGGGCTTGCACTCGCCACATGGTGAGGGCCCAGTCGCCATGAGTGACCAGTGCCTGCCCTCCTTCCCAGGGCAAGGTTGGAGGATCTGGAATGGGCCCTGACCGATCCCTCCCATTCCATGCCTGTCCAGGTGTTCTAGAGACATCACGAACGGCTCCAGGATGTGCCCAGAAAGGTTATTCCACGGGGCTGTTCTGTGTCTAAGAAAGCAGAGCCTGAATGTGCTTTCTGCCACCTCCTCTCCTTGAAATTCAGTTCTGTGTCACCACCTGCACAAAGGATGTCTCCCCTCCTTCCTTTCTCGTAGTCTGGCCCCCGAGTCCCCGTCCCCGGACAGCAGTGCCCTGTCGGCCCGGAGGCAGCTCCCCAGCAGCCGCTTGTCCTCACTGTCCTCCCAAACGGAGGCCACCTCAGCCGGGGACCCGCACAGCTGCTCCAGGGACCAGCGGAGCACCAGCATGGACCGATCCAGCACCGATTTGGAATCCACCGATGGGATGGAGGGGCTGCCCCCCCTGGACCCCTGCCCCGCGAAGAGGGTGGACGACTTCTCCTTCATTGATGTAAGTTGGTAGCTGGGAGTGTGAGTCAGAAAGAGTACTTTCTTCTTAAAGGGATGCTCTGACGTCTCCCAGTGAGTGGCCCCTCTCAGGGGTAGAATCTGTGTACCAGGAGCCCCTGTGGTGGGTGCAGAGGGAACAGTCTTTGAGATGGGACTGATGTCTGCGTGTCACTTGCACCTGCCATGTGTCTGGGGGCACATATCTTCACCTCTGAGCCTTGGCTTCCTCATCCACCAATTGCCAGCGCAATGGGCTCCACAACCTCAAACATAATCGCATGTGTTCAAATTAAAACTGATTCTAGCACCCACCTGTTAGGTAAGCAGGGAGTCTGGCCTCTCATCCCAGGAGTGGGGGGTGGGGTGGGGTTGGGAGACAGTGGGGAGCAGGAGGCTGCCCGAGGTTTGCAGTTCCAGGCGTGCAGAGTCTGGAATTTGGCTCAGACCAAATCTGCGGGGTGTTCTCACCAAGGTGTTGCTTGGAGGACATGTCTCTGATGCCCACGGATCCAAGTCTCTCTGTAAATGAGTAGTGGCTGCTCCGGGGAAGGGAGCCTTCAGGCACAGATAGTCATCATACCCCAGGATCCCCCGGGGCAGGCCCTAGAACTCAGCTCTGCTAGGTCCCAAGCAGAGCCAGCCTCCAGAATGCCAGCTGCCCAGGCCCAATGGCATCCTGCTCTAGACCCTTCAGGACCAGTATGGGTCCCCTTTCCTCCCACAAGAGTGCCACCTGCCGGCAGTTTCCTTTTCAGTCCTTGAAGTCCCATTATTCTCCTTCCCTGACAGTCCCATTATTCTCCTTCCCTGACAGTAAGGCTACACCTCCCCCCTCTCCGTCCCCCACCCCCGATCATCTAAATGGTGCAAAATCTAAAAGCAGTCCGCTCTCCTGGCAATGAAGTCTCAGGCCCACACTCTTAGAAATGGCTACTCAGATTCCTCCCAGAGAAGGAACACCACCGCTTGAGGAGAAGGGGGCTTCCTCTGGATCCTCAGAGAGGGTTCCCCCTTCTAAGTATGGTCAGTGTCTCCTGCTGGCCCCTCTGAAGAAGGGCAGAGATGGAGAAAGACACAAGTTCGGTCTCCCCTGGGCCACCCACTACACAAACATGGACATGGTGTGGGTTGTAAGGATTCAATTCAGTTAGATGATGTGTTCAGATATTCATTCAACAAACATGTACCGAGCTCAAGCTGTGTGCCAAGCTTACGTGCTTGTATGATGTCACCGGGGCCATGGCACAATCCGCGGGACTTACCTTCTAGAACACTGGGCTGTTCTTTCTCAGTGTCCATTATAAATCCCAGCCACCGGTCCCTGAGTGTTGGCCCCTGGACTGCTCATAGGCCAGGAACCCCAGGAGGCAAAGATGCCTGCCCCCTTCTGCAGATGAGAGAAGCAAGGTGGCCATTGGGTGACTCCGATGCAAGCGTCCCCCAGCACAGGTTGGGATGCTTATTTATCACGTACTGAGGTCTACGGGCACTGCCCACTATGATTCGGGGCTCCTGTGGGGCCTTTTGGAGGCTGAGAGGGAAGATGAGTGACCAAGGCCTCCAGGCCCTGCCCCAGCCTGCGGTCGCAGGGATAGCCCTGGGGAAACAGACCCAGCAACCCCCCAGGCCAGCTCCTCCCTGGGGCAATTCCCTCCTCCTTTCTCCGAGTCTGAAAACCTGGATCCGTGAAGCAGTCCCCCAGTTTGGGACTTCCGTCTCTCCCCCCATCCCTGCGCCCCCAGCCCCATCAGCTCCCCCGACTGGCCACCATTACGACCACTTTGAGAAGCAGCTACACAAACATCAGCTCCCTCCTCCCACCTCCAGCGTGGCCTCTGCCACTTACCAGCCCTGGGAAATGATTCACTGAGATTAGTCCATCCTCACTCCTGGAAAAGGCCTTGGCTGATGGGACTTCTCCAAAGTAAACCTAAGAGAGAGAACCCCACATTTTAGGCAAGCACAGGAGCTGCTCCTGTAACAGCTCCTGCCTGTGTCAGCCTTGGCCAGACGCTGTTTCCAACCAGGACTTGCCCCGCCCAGGCTCACTGACTTCTCCCCACCACTCTGGGCAGCCCATACTCCTGTGATCCCCTTTTCTACAAAGAGGGGCACCTTGCGGAGGTGAAGGCCACGGCTCGAGCTCACACAGCTAGGATTTGAACCATGTGGGATTCGAACACAGAGCTCTGAGTTCTTTGCTGCCATCCCCGGGGGTGATCACTGGGCCAGGGGCCACCCCACCTCCTTGCTGCACCCTCCTGGCTCGTCTGCATTCCTCACACATTTTGTTCTGGAAGGTGATCCTCTTGGAAAGCGTCACGGACCATCCACCTGACTCTGCTCAGAGTGTGACGCTTGCAGACAAAGGACTGGCACAAATGCATTGTTCTGCACCCTCCATCTGCCCCCCAAATTATTGTGGGTGTGGGGGGGCTGCACTGAGAATGCCTCGGCTCCTGGGTCCTGTGTGAGTAAGGTTCCTGCAAAGATTTAGTCAGATGATGTATTCAGTTATTCATTCAGCAAGCAAGCAAACATGGATTGGGCTCCTGCTGTATACTGGGCACTGCTCTGGCTCCCATGCTCCTGTGAAGTCACCAGGAGAGGAAAGGCATTGTCATTCATGTCCATTTTGTGGCTGGCCCTGTGCCAGCGCCATCAAGGCTCACGTGATTAGCATCACCACAGAGGCATCAGCCTCTGTGGTGTGTTTCGCGGAGAAATCGAGGCGTACAGTGTTGAGGTGACTATAAAAACGTGAGCAGGTTGGCCCACGTACCCCCCAGATAGCAGCTTGTGTTCCGGGGAAGCAACACACACCTCCCGTAGGTGGTGCCCTCAGTTAATGGTTCCCATGATTTTCTCCCTCTTCCTGCCTGCTGCACCCACAGCAAACCTCAGTCCTTGACTCAAGTGCCCTCAAGACCCGGGTGCAACTCAGCAAGAGAAGCCGCCGCCGGGCTCCCATCTCCCACTCCCTCCGGCGCAGCAGAGTTAGTGAGTCAGAGAGCAAGTCTCCTTTGGAGGAGGAGGCCGACAGTGCGTGGATGTTCAAGGACTCAACAGGTATGCACGCCATGCCCTCCTTTCTCCACGGACGCCACCCTGAACAGCAGGATGGCGAAAGGACTGCATGAGGGTCAGGCGGCTGCCAGTGACCTGGGTGCTCTTTTCTTTGCGACAGAAGAGAAATCTCCCAAGAGGGAAGAGTCAGATGAGGAGGAGGAGAAGCCTTCCAGGGCTGAGAGGACCCCCACCAGCCACCCGCAGAGGATGCCTGTGTTTCCGGGCATGGACCCCGCAGTGCTAAAGGTACCGAGCTTCACACCTAGAGCTACGCTCAACCTCGCAGGGAGGAGAACAGGCCCCAGGTGTCCTTCATCCCCTCCCTCTTCCCCCTCCCTCCCTGCCTTCCCTCCTCTCTTCTCCCCTCCCTCCCTGCCTTCCTTCCTTCCTTCCTCCCTTCCCCTCCTTCCCTCCCATCCCTCCTCTCTTCCCTGCTCTGTCACTCCCTCCCTCCCTTTCTTCCTCCCTCCCTTCCCTTTTCCCTTCCCCCCTCCCTCTCTCCCTTCCTTCCCTCCTCCCTCTCTCCTTTCCTTCCTTCTTTCCCTCCTCCCCTCCTCTCTCTCCATTTCTGAAACAGTTCCACTCACAAGAAGTTGCAGAAATAGTTCAGGGGGTCCGCACACACCCCAACACAGCTTTCCCCAGTGACAACTCACACTGCCACAACGCCTGCCATTTTTGCAGGAGTAGGAAGTCAGTAAACAGCAGCTGCACACTTGTCCCTGTGGTTGGTTTTACAGGCCTCAAAAATGGGAACGACTGGCGGCCTCTGTACTAGGCCAGCAGTTTCCCACCTCTCCTCTCCTTCGTCGGAACAAAGGATGTGTCACAGGGCAGCCTAACACAGCAGGCAGCAAAGGCACTGGGCTCCCCGAGGACACTCCACGTAGCTCCCTGGGCTCCCCGTGGACACTCCACATAGCTCCCGAGGCCCGGCCTTGGGTCCCAGGACATGGCTCAGCAACCCCCCTGCTGTCCAGACAAGGCTCTTGAGATTCGTGCTATCGTTAGCATGAGCTCCTTGAACCTGGGGCAGTCACACCTGCTCCAGGCACTCCCAGCCATGGGCAACACTCAGCGGTCCTAACCAGCAGCGAGACTACCGGGCTCATTCTGGAAGGAGCCCCAGGGTCAGGGTTGAGGTTGGGCAGACCTGTGAATCCCAGGTCTTGGAAACTGTGTGATTTGCGCCCACTGCTTGACCTTTGGCCTTCAGGCTACTCTTCTGTAAAACACAGAGAGCCAGCCTCTGCTTCGGGCTAATGTGTGTCATATACGTTAGGCCTGGTTAGAGTCCAAATGGTGGACATTCGGCACACCGAGGGGTCAGGCAGACGATGGTGATGGGGGCCGTCCAGTGTTACGTGGGGGACAGTGGCCACCTGCCACCATCACACCCCGGGCCCCTGGGGGAACTCTGTACACACCATACTGCCATCCCATCCCCCACCATGCCTTCCAGAAAAGGGGGGAAATCCACCCTGCCTTTTTCTTGTGGGAATGTGATAGTTGAAACTCATTTTAGGGGCACTTGTGTGGCTCAGTTGTTAAGCATCTGCCTTTGGCTCAGGTCATGATCCTGGGGTCCTGGGATCGAGCCCCATGTCAGCTCCCTGCTCTATGGTAAGTCTGCTTCTCCCTCTGCTTGGGTTCCCTCTCTTGCTGTGTCTCTCTCTGTGTCACACAGATAAATAAAATCTTTTCCTTTTAAGATGTTATTTATTTATGTGACACAGAGAGGGAGAGGGGTAAGCAGAAAGAGAGCGGGGAAGCAGGCTCCCTGCTGAGCAGAGATCCCGATGCGGGTCTTGATCCTGGGACCCTGAGATCATGACCTGAGCTGAGGGCAGAGGCCCAACCTACTGAGCCACCCAGGCGCCCCTAAATAAAATCTTTAAAAACAAACAAACAAACAAACAAAAACCTCATTTATCCATGTGGACACAGGACCAAGAAGCTTAGCACAGCTGAATGTCAAGTGGAAGATGCGGCCATTGCCTCCATGCCGGCGTTCATGGGCAGCTAAAGGAGACAGACCATCCCAACCCGAGAGCATATAAATGGTGGCTTTTCCATCAAAGAGGAGAGGACATGATTGTGCGGGGTTGTAGTGGTGGTTCTTTGATTCTAGTGGCCAAGGGTGGCTGGGTAGACTACTTGCCTGGTGTCCGATTTCTCTCAGCCTCCAAGGTCAGGAGGCATCTCCCCCACCCCTGTGTTGCCTGCCTGGGTCTGTTCAGTTGCTGGGGGGCCCTGTTGTTGCCCTACGCGACGGTGCCTTCAGATGGGAGCCTTCTGCAGACCAGAGGCGGTTACAGAAGTGGCTCTCTTCTCTCCCCAGGCTCAGCTGCACAAGAGGCCAGAGGCCGACAGCCCCAGCGAGGCCCCAGGCTGGGCCCCCCAGCCCAAGACGCCCAAGGCTCCCTTCACTCTGGGCAGTCGCGTGCTGCCCTCCAGCGTGGAGAAGGACGACAGGTGAGGGGACTTGAGGAGGAGGCCTCCACCCTTGGTGGGGTCTTGTCGGGTGGGGGCTTGTCGGGTCTTAGAGCTGCATTCAAAGGGAGTTGCAGCTGTGTCTTTCCCTCTAGCTTTGCTCACACGAACTCCCGGCAGCCTGAGAGATAAACACACACGCGCAGAGATGGGGAAAGAGGACCAGGAATGAGGCTGGCTGGCCTCGCTCTCCCCGCTCCCCCTGCTCCCTCCACATCCCACGTGGAGATCCAGGGCTGTGTTGTGGGAAGACTAAATACCTAGCCCAGCCCTCTCCAGATTGGTGGGGAAACTGAGGAATCCTCCCTCCTCATACCCTCCAGGGAAGGGCCTTTGTCTCAGGAGAATCGGGGAGACCCAGGAAGATGGATAGAAGGGCATGGCCAGGCTGAATGACATCCGCTGAATTCAGCTGCCTTGCGTGGAGCCACTGCCCCCATCCCAGGCTGGGCCAACACGACACAGAGATGAGCCCAGCACAGCACCTGTCCCCTCCCCACCAGGGGGCTCCCAGACTAGGCACTCTGGCAACCGGGGTTGGACTTTACAGAGCATAGCTCTGAAAAAAAAAAACACATCACACAACCAACTTCATCCCAGTGGTGCAACTGACAAGCTGCTTGGCCTGGGGGAGTCACTCTGCCTCTCTGAGCCTCAACCTCTTTATCTGCAAAATGGGTTTACTCCTCATTCTAACCTTCCAGGGCGGTCATGAGGAAGAAAAGAAGAAGGGTGTGCAGAGCCCTTTGCATTGGTGCTGGCTTTCAGACGTGCTCAATAAAGGAGCGTGGGATTCTGGGGTGCCTGGGGCACTCAGTCAGCTGAGCGTTTGACTCTTGTTTTCGGCTCAGGTCATGATCTTGGGGTCCTGAGATCGAGTTCTAGGTCGGGCTCCTCACTGGGCATGGAGCCTGCTTAAAATTCTCTCTCTCCCACTCCCCACCTCTCCCTGGTGCTAAGAAAAAGAAGAGAGAGTGAGTGGGATTCTTTTCACAAGTTAAGACATAAAAGTTAAGAATTATTCACACTAATGTTGTAATGTTTTTTTTTTAAAGATTTTATTTATTTATTTGACAGACAGAGATCACAAGTAGGCAGAGAGGCAGGCAGAGAGAGAGGAGGAAGCAGACTCCCTGCTGAGCAAAGAGCCTGACATGGGGCTTGATCCCAGAACCCTGAGATCATGACCTGAGCTGAAGGCAGAGGCTTAACCCACTGAGCCACCCAGGCACCCCTAATGTTGTAATGTTTTAAGTGCTGAGATAGAGCAGTGAGTTAGGAAGCTACAGACCACAGGCCAGATTTCAGCCCACTGTCTGTTTTTGTAAACAAAGCTTTATTGGCACACAGTCACACCCATTCCTCTCCATACTGTGTCCGGCTGCTCTCCTGTTTGGGCTGCAGAGTTGACTAGTTGTAGCAGACAACCCATGACCTACAAAGTCAAAACTACTTCCCATCTGGCTCTTTATCTGACCCCCATGATAGAGGAAGGACTCGAAACCTGAACCTGAGGAAGAAAAGTGCATAAAAAGGCTTCCAAGAGAAGGAGTTGCCTGGGCTGAGTCATGATAGACCAAAAGAGGGCAGCATGAGGGGGTCCCAGGCTGAAGTCACAGCACATGCAAAGGCCTGGAGGCCTGACATTACAAGGGAGCTATAGCCAGGGCCTATTACCAGAGCATAGAGTGTGCTGTGGGAAGCAAAAGGACAAGAGGTGAAGAGAAACAAGGCCGTAGTTAAGAGAGATTGAGATTGAGATTGATTTTAAGGAACTAGCTTCCCTAATCATGGGTACCAGCAAGTTCAAAATCTGTAAGGCACATAGATAAGCTAGAGACTCAGGGAAGAACCAGTATTGTAGTTTAAGTACCCAAAGTGGTCTGTGATCAGAATTCCCTCTTCTTCTGGAGAGATCAGTCTTTTTTTGGCAAGATCTTCAACTGATTGGGTGAGGCCCACCCATAATAGGGAGGGTAATCTGCTTTATTCAAAGCCTACTGACTTAAATATTAATTTCATCTTAAAAAATGCCTTCACAGAACCATCTAGAACAATGTTCATCCAAATACTTGGGTACAGTGGCCTAGCCAAGTTGACACATGCAATTAACCATCATAGGCATTTATGTGGGTGGAGAGCTAGAAGGATGGAGGCGTGCTTGGGGTGACAAATGGATGGACGGAGATAATTCATGTGTCAACGCAACTTCACAGCTGCAGATTTTTTCATAGAATGGGCATACCGTGATTTATTTACCATTCTTTGTTACTAGGGACTTTGTTTAATTCCCGTTTCTTGCTCCTCAGTTGTGTTAACACAGGCATCTTTACCGCCTGCAAGTACCTGGCTCAGCATCGCCTGGGCACTGAAGATGTGGGGTCGGGTGCCTCACAGCCCTGCCTGCAAGGAGCCCTCAGTCTGGCTCGCACTTGACTCTCACTGGCTTTGTGGTTTCAGGTCAGAAGAGCCCTCTCCCCAATGGTTAAAGGAGCTAAAATCCAAGAAGAGGCAAAGCCTGTATGAGAACCAAGCTTGAGCAGGTATGAAGTGGGAGGCACAGTGGGGAGCCTGGACCCAGAAGCCAAGGGCCAGAGACTTGAGGAGAGAGAAGGGAAAATGGGTGCGGGTGTTCTGGGTTCCAGTGAAGAGGGTAGTGCTGATCTGTTTCCTCTTAAGGGAAAAAACCCAGGTGGACAGCCTGGTCGAGGAACCTAGGACAACCTAGGCTCTGGGCTCATGCACTTCTCACTGCATCTCAAAACCCTTTTATAAAGTGGAAAGGGGGACATCAGCAATTAGCTTAATCCAAAATGTCTCCCCAATTTTTACATGCATATGCAACCTGTATGATTAAAATTTAACTTGGAAAAAAAAAAGAGGACTAAGAAGGTCAAATGATTAGATGTGCCCTGGTGTGGGTCCCAAGTGACTTCATATCTTAGAGGAACATTAGGTTCCCCATCTGTGAAATGGGGTAACAGCCCCCATGTCATCAAGGGGCCCCTGGGGCTCACTGAAGAGGCGCTGACATGCTGGCGGTCAGTCCTAGGAGTGGGAACATATGGCTCACAATCCCTAGAAGCTGGCTCTGATGTGAGTAGCCCAGGAGACCCTCCAGCCCCTTACCTGTAAATCTCAGATGCAGAAAACACGGACAACGAAAGCGTTTTCATGACTTACTTAGTAGCAAAGCCTGACCTACGTGGTTGTCTGTGCTTTACGCTGTGGGTATAATCCAGGGGCATTTCATAATATATATGTATGCCTATGTGCATGTGTATATGTGTCTACAATAAACCCTACCCCACCAAATTCTAAATTCCCAGGTAATCTGTGCTCAAGCGTTTTGGATAAGGAATGGGATCCTGTGTTGGTTTTTGTGTTTAGTGCTATATATGTCATATCTCTGTGAACCTTCCAGCCATCCACTTGAGGAAACAGGCTGGAACCCTAACCTGACCTTACACTTCCCATGGGTTCTACTGCATTTGGCCACCTGTCCCCTTCCTCACCCGACTCCAAAAAAAAACCAAACAAACAAAAAAGTCATCTTTCCTGGCCTGTGACCTGTGGGGTTGGGGGCTGACCATCTAGGAAAATACCAGACAAGGTTTAAAGGCTTGATGGCAGAGACACTGAGGGTCCCATGTTCCCCTTGCTGACACCAGGACTGTCCCCTCCTCTCCAGACAGGGGACACTGCCACGTCTAATGAACAGAAGCCTTAACTGTCAGAACCCGAAGATGAGGCCATGCTGATGCTGTTCCTGCCTAACCCTTCCAGCCGGGTGGAGAACACGGCCCGGTGACTCCCGCCCCCTGCAGAGGCTCTCCCCAGATCAGGATGCAAAGACCCACCCTCCTCCAGCACCTGCACATCTCCCTAGACAACACTTGAGGCTGAGAACAAAGCCAGGCTGCACAGAATTGTCCATGCTGGTGGTTTTGTGTTTTACGTGAACAATGTCCATTTCCGCTCTCTGTCTTCACCCGGAGACATCACTCCGGGAACATCAATCTGAGTTGGACCATCTCCCTGGGCTCCGGAAAACACCTGTATTGTGAAAGTATCCCTTGTCCCGACACCAGAGGAGGTCCCTTTCAAAAGCCTATTTCCGAGGAAGAAGAAACTAAAGTTTCCTGCTGTAATTGTGGCCCAAGGCAGCATCACTGGGTTGGGCTGTGTTTGGTTTTTTGGTGAGTTCCATCTCCCTCCCTCTCCAAGAATCAGCAGCTCCAGTGTTTTAAACATACCCATCCTCATTTCAGGTGTGTTTATCCTTACAATGGGGCTGTGTGCAGAGATGATCTGTTCATTATACATCACTTTGGTTTGCTTTAGAAGGCGTTAAAGCAATAATTCAGCCAATTTTCTTTGAAATTTGATATGTATATATGTTTTTTACATTCAAGAGCAGAAGGAAAGGTGTATGAATAATTTGCTTGAAGTATCCGATCATCTCAGGTTATCTTACCCCTATCCGTGCTTTAAAAAAAAAAATTCCAGCTGTCACCTCTGTGTATATATTTTCCTGGTTTCTTTTCATTTGAGCTCTGGTTTCTGTGGAGTGATCTTTGTCCCTTGGCCTCAAGTGTTCATCAGTGGCAGCAGCCCGGATGGCAGTGCCTTTCCCTCTCAAACAGCAGACCCGCCCTGAGAATCTTCTTCTCCAGTCTTTTTTGAACAGCACCCAAGATACTGGCGTAGAAGATTCATTCCAAATTGGAACAAATGCATGAATGGGGGAAGGGTTCTTCTGTTTCTTCTCACCTCTTCCTTCTACCACTCCCCCACTCCACCCCTTGCAAACTCCACCTGACAGAGTGATTCCTTTAGGTCCAAATGTAGGAAGGGAGGGTCTTGCTGAATCCTTCTCTGGACAGAAGTGCTGGATGCTAGGTGACAGAGTATAGGGTTTGCCTTGCCTCTTTTTTTTCTTCCTTTCTCTAAGCTCATTCCCAGGAATCTCTAAGACCTCTGGGGGTCATAGGCACTCTCTACATGGTCTTTATTTTTGGAAATCCTCAACACCAGCCTCCTCCACCTCTGAAACCCAAGGCTCCAGCAAACATCCCAGATAGGCTTGACTGGCCACCTGTCATGCCTGGAGTTGCCATAAACCATGTGCCAATCCTGCTGGGGAGATGCCCGTTGGTGAGAAAGACACCTGGGACAGTTCACAGGGCCCCCTGTGACTGCTGAGGGGCCCCAGGACTGAGTTTCCTAAGGCTAGATATGGAAGGGATGGGCCTTACCCATTGACTTCCCAAGACATGCAAGTCTTTCTTGAAAATCCATTATTTGCAAATGGTGTCAAAACATACTTTCCTTCTCTCTGGCCATGTCTCCAGGAGTCTCCATTTGTCTCCCCATCTCTTCTCTCTCATCATCCTTTACCATCTCTTCCTTCACTTGGGGTGAAGGTTGGAGAGCAACCTGTTTCTCCAGGTTCAGCACCACGGACAGGGACTGCTCCTCCCCGCCCCAGGTCCTGTTGGGTGACCTTGGGCTACCAATGGGCAGTTGTTGGACCCTGTCACCCACCAAGCCTTTTGCATCTGGAAGCTCATGTCTAGAGATTTGGCCCTGCTTGATAATAGTTTGTGTTCTTTTCATTCCCTGAGTTAGTGGTCAGTCAGTTTTCTGTGGCCATTAGGTGGAGATTTGATTCCTCCAGGAACTGCTGCTTTGGGTGAATTTTCTTTTCTTTCTTTTCCTTTCTTTCTTTCTTTTAGATCCGGTTAATGTTCTGTTTTGTGGGGTTTGTGGTTTTGTTTTGTTTTGTTTTTTAAGTTCGACGCAAGACCTGAGCTAAGATCAAGAGTCAGATGCTTAACCAACTGAGCCATCCAGGAGCCCCTAGATCTGGTTAATGTTTTGGAACAATGTTGATACAATGGCTTTCCAGGTCAGTAGGTCCCCTTTAAAGTCACTCCTCATGTTCTGACCAATGCTTCCTGGCTGCTGTCTGTCTTTCCTTCAGGTGGGAAGGGCCCCTTGGTACCATCTTAGACAATAGGAACTGACCTGCTCTGTTCAATGAGACTATAGATACAACGCAAAACTCTCCGATTCTTAATTACTTATATTTTAGTCCAAGTATACCCAACAGGAAAAACACGAGACTTAACCTGGAGACTTAAACTTGAGATTAACCTGGAGATCTTTTGCCTAACCTCCCACACCTTAATTGGAAACAGAAATCCATTTAATTCCTTGGTGATTAAAACATACAAAGTTCACCCCCCTCCCATGAAACTGATGAGAGCAGCCTCACCTCTCCACTGCACAGCAGACCCTCACAGTGGGTCAGGAGCCACCCTGTCCATGCAGACTCCCCTTGACCCCGGACCCCGCTATGCTCAGTCCAGTGAAGTTAGAAATGACTGATGCTTGGAACTTTTTCAGATAGCTGGGCAAGTGCGTTGTTGGTTTTCCCTTCTTCGTAAGCTGAGTGAGCTCTCTGGCACTAAGCAAGAGGTTGTTTGCTAGTTTCTTGAGTTGGCCTGGAGCCGCCTTTGGAAATCTATTTTTAAACTAACTTAATATGCCTTAATCGTTTGTATGCAATCAAGTCACCTGCCCTCATCCAATCAACTTTCTGGGGGCCTTTGGCTCTCCTTAAATGAGAGTCTTTCGTAGAACGCAAATCCCTATGTATGTACAATCTCTACACACACACACACACACACACACACACACACACCCTTTATACATTAGCGTTTTGATGGCTGGTGTTTTGATAAGTCCGTATCTAGGTCCCCTTCCTCATTCCTTGCTTGATGAAACAGAGGCCTTTGGCCTATGAAATCCCACAGTGGGGCCTCAAAAATTAGTATTGTGGAGAATTCCTTGGTGCCCCCAGAGAAATTCTGGTGAAACCGAAGCCTCGTGTTGTTTCATGTTGGGGGTTTTGAGTGACACAGACCTGACAGCCTCAGGTTGTCCAGGATTCGAGAATAGGACAATCAGGTGGGAGCTCTTCCAGGGAGACAGGCCAACTCCTTTCAGACAAAGGTGTTTGCCTTTGTGCATCCAGGGAAACGAGGCCAACTCTAGGTATTGCTAAGGAGCGAACATCGAAATAGGCTCGAGCCTGAGGTCCCAGAGCTTAGAGGCTGTGCAAGGGAGTGGAGGAAACCATTGGCATGCTTCCCCCGGCAGAAGGGAGCTCAGCTGCTTGTCCTCAGCCCTAGCAGCTGCCTTGTCCGCTTAACGCTTGTACATTTAAATTTCCACTATGATGCCCCCAGATTGCCCCAGAAGCTAGGCATGATCACAGAGCTGAAAATCCGCAGGTGTGTGGTCAGATAACCTCCAAAACTACGTGCTTTTTTAAAGGTGACTTGGGCCTGCATGGAAGACAGTGTCCCACGGAGAGGACTGGAGCCTGCCTCTCCCTCACCAGTGTCTGCTTTGTGCCCTCAATCCCCGTGACTCCCCTCCGCCAACCCCTCCAGTCCCATCACTCAGTACAGGAAGCCAGATTACTTAGCCTTCATGTAAACTAGCATTTCAGGGTGAACCCGAGGGGGAGATGTGGAGGCAGGAGAAAAGTTCCATCCAACGGGAGACACCCTCGCCCCTAAGTTACACCGTGACAGATAACTGCAGTCACGGGGAAGCCTGCCACACCCTCAATTGTGCCTTTCTTCCTCCACCACATGTTAAAACGTGGAAGCAAAACTCCCATGGCCTCATGAGTCCACGGGGTAAGAGGGACAATGTTGACGTGGAGGGAGCCACTCCACATCTGGAAGGGGGCCCACCCTCGGCGACAGCCACCTGGGGAGCCATGGATCCGGGTTCTGCTGAGGAGCTGCTATGAGTCAACCCTGTTGGGATTTGGGGGAACTGAGGTTCTGAAAATTCAGAGCCACGTGGAAAGCCACGGTCTTCACCAGCCTCTCCCCTTTGGCTCCCACCCCTCTAGAATTTGCTTTCTCTGGTTTGGATTGGGTCCTTCAGGGAGGGGTGCAGAAATCTTGTGTTCTGGAAAATCAACCTGAGGTTCCTAGCAAATTAACCTTTAAAATCAATCAGCTTATCCCCCTCCCCCACCCCCAAATTTCCTTAAAGAGTCACCCTCTAACCTGCTACCTGATAATCTTCCTCCATGAATCAGACTGGCTTTTTTTGGACAATCTCTAATGGTGTCACACCTGCAAAAACAAACAAACAAACAAAAAAACCCAAACAAACAAAACCACGCCATTGTCTAAAGAACAATTTGAGCTTTTTGCCGGTCTCATTCCACATAGCCTTATAGATCTGTAAACTGGGGGCTCACAAAGTAATATATTGTGTTATGGCAGATATTTTGTACTGTGTTGTTTCCTGAATCATACCAATATTCTAGAAGTGATGCACTTCCCAGATGACTCTGATCCTCAAAACACTTTGTAAGAAGGGGCGGGGAGTGAAAATACATATAAATACACTATATTTTCTGAGCCTTTCTTCTGAGTCCCTTCCTGAGTCATGGCAGGAAAGAAACTGGAGTCCTGTGTACAGGAAAGTTACACCTGCTGCCTGCTGGCGTTCTTGCAATTGCCTTACGAATTCACAAGCTCTAAGGGGTTCTGAACAGAAGGTGGATGACAGGCACTTTCTCCAATCCCAGAAAGAATCTCTACTCGCGTGACTGATAATTCATCTAGAAAAACCTATATTTTTAACGTTGAAACAAACGGGGCTTCCTGGACCTCACAGAGTATTGGGTATCTACAAGTGCTTTTATATTTTGTAACTGTAAAGAGGTTTCCTATGCACAGAAGAACAGTTGGGGACCTGGCCAACTGCCGTCACACAGAATGACCTCTGCATGTACAAAGATGTTGCATTCAGACCATGAAAATAGCAAATAAAGCTTTGATGCAAGTTGCACTGAAGAACTCGGTGTGTCAGTGTGTGGATGAATGGGCTCTCCCATGCATGCACGCCCGTCCCCAGCTGAATCGGTCTGTTGTCTGCTGAGCTGGGGGCCACGTGGCAGGAAGGGGGGAGCTGGGGTCCTGGGTGAAAGGGACCCATGGAGACAAAGCAGAATTTCCATTCAACATGGGCTTGAATCCTCACTCTGCCTCCTCCCGGCTGTGAGATATCGCTGAGCATTGGAGCTCCCATATGGGGGGTGGTGTTAGTGACCTTAGTGGGCAAGAGTTGAAGGCAGTGGTTCTCAACTGGGTGGATTGTGCGCACCGCCCCCCACCCCCGCCATGACACCTGGCAAAGGCAATGACGGGAAACATTTCTGCTTATTGCAAAGAGGGAAGGGAGATGCTGCTGGCATCTAAGGGGTAGAGACTGGGGATTCTGCTCAATATCCCCACAGTGAACAGGATGGCTCCCCCACTACCAAGAGTTAACCGGCCCCAGACAGCAATAGTGCCAATACTGAGAACTCAAGCCCAAGGAAAGGAAACGTGGTGTGTGAAGGTGCTGGGTACTCAGTAGGTCCTTGGGATCCTAAAGGATCTGATGGGAGGAAGTCGCACCATCTCTTTTTTCCCTCTTAGATCGCTAGCAGGTGGTGGCTGCATCCCAAGGTTGGGGTAGAATCCACCTCTGCGTTCTGTGGTCACCAGCAGGAGGTAGTCCCAGGGTTTGAACTATCAGTAGCGGGCAGGATCCTCAGTGAGTGGAAGCAAGAAAGTAGCAGCCTGAGCTGAGCGCTTGGTTCCATGATCTCTGTGTGGCTGTCCATTTATGGGTGCTGCTGACCTCCAGCATCTCACCCGAAGTCACACAGGTCCACCTGCTTCCAGAGGGCAGCTACCACCCACAGTGTCCCACCACCATCTCCAGGGGTGTGGGGTAACTGAGTTGTAGGCTGACTGGAGGACTTTAGCCAAAAATCATGACAAAACCAAACCCTGTTCTGTAACAATTCACTCCTTGGCCCTCCCTCCATTTTAGTCTTCCAATAATCACTAATTATACTTAGAAAATGCATGCGCCTATGTTTTTGATTTGGATTTGTTTCTTGGTTTCTTTTTTTAAAAGATTTTATTTACTTATTTTACAGAGATCACAAGTAGGCGGAAAGGCAGGCAGAGGGGGGTGGGGGGAAGCAGGCTTCCTGCTGAGCAGAGAGCCTGATGTGGGACTAGATCCCAGGACCCTGAGATCATGACCTGAGCTGAAGGCAGAGGCTTAACCCACTGAGCCACCCAGGCGCCCCTGTTTCTTGGTTTCTGTTTGTTTGGGTTTGTTTCTTTTGGGGGGTCACAAATAAGGCGACTATCATAATCACCTTTATTTCTATTAAAGCTAAGATATAGGCCCTGTGGCAAGCCAGTCCCTCCTTCTTTCTGCTGTGTGACTTGGGGTAAATGATTTCACCTCTCTGAATTCAGTTTCTGAGCCATCTTTGAAAGGGGGATGGCAATTCCTTCCCTAAAGAGGCTGAGGGAGGATTAAACATAATGTTCATGAAGCTGGCACAGTGCCTTGCACACAGTAGGTCTTCAATAAATGGGAGCTGTTCATTGTATATGCCTTCTATAGGAAGAAAATAAACCTTTGTTGGGTCTGTTACAGCATCCCATGGAAACCCAATTTGAGGGTTATATTTCGGGTCATCTGACCTAAACCTTAGGCCATGTGGCCCATGGGAAAACTGAGTGATTCTGGGGTCCCTCACTTTAAGGGCTGGTGTCCTTCCAAGGCTGTCATTCACCCAAACAGGAAGTGATGGCTCTGGGAAGCCCAAGAAAGGGCACTGGAGAGCTCTACACCCCAATACACCCCCCTAGTGCTGTCAGCCTTACCACAAAGCTGATGAGGTCCGTCAGCCCCCAAGACGCCATCAGGGGCCATGGCGGAGGGACACAAGCACTGGGGCCTCCTGGGCCTACTATTGGAGTGAAATGGCCTGAACGGAATTGGATGGACAGGGCACTATGTCAGCAGGCTGAGATGTGCTGGGCTGTCGAAAAGCGCCCATAAATAGGACACTGCTAGCAAAGGCAGACTGAGTCTGCAGATGGTGCTGGCCCCTCTGTTCTTCCTGAGGCTACAGCAGCAGGTTCATTCTGGGACGGGCAGGGGCGGGGAGGCAAGGGCTGCACTTGCAGGCCCAGGCCTTTGGGGATCTCCCTGCAGCGTGCACGGTGGACCCCTGCACAAACTGGGGATTCACTTAAGGGTTGGAGCCAAGAGGGAGGACCCCTTCCAGCCACCAAGCTCCACTGGTGTCCGAGGGAGGTGGCCAGGGTTGAGCCCCTGGGCAGATGCTTAGGGGAAGGGGGCCTCCAAAGACTGAGCATAGCTGGAGTGGGGGAGAAAGCCAACTGGAAGACTGCCAAGGATCCTGGGGGTCTTCCAGGAGCTGGCAACTGGGTCTGTGTCTGAAAGGGGTATGGTGTGCTTGTGAGAGAGAGAGGTGAAGGCTGTCATGTTCGATGGGTGTGATGTGACTGTGTGATCACAGGAGCGTGTGTGTGCACGCGTGTGTGTGTGTGTGTGTGTGTGCTGATAAACTGGAGAACAGTCCCATGTATCCATGTGTCATGGAGATCATGACAATCCTCCCATGACTACCTTGTCATGACTACCTTGGGTCCTGTTCCCACAGGGATGAAGGGGAACTGTCTCTCTGTGTCTGTGTCTCTTGAAGTGGCTGGTATACACTAAGTGCTTCATAAATGCACATGGAATGAATAACCAAATGTACGGAAATTGGGCCGCTGCGGGTGTTCCAGGACCCAGTTCCGCATCATGCTTTTTCTAGTTGTCTGTCTGTCCCTTTCCTACCAGTCTGTTGTCTCCTGTTCACCCCGGTCACCCAGCAGCAGGCCAGGCACTGAGAAGGTGCTCATAGAATCTTTGGTGGACAGAGGAATGAATGAACAGAAGACTAGCCCAGAGCGTGGAGGTGGGAGAGATCTCTGTAGAGGAACCCCACTGAAGCCCACACTCTGGCAGGGTGCAGGCATGGTGTGTCTACACGGAGCTTGAAGAATCCCATTTTGGGTGGCGGGAAGCAATTGGGTGAAGGGGAAGGGAAAGGGCAGGCCTTTTGGAGGCAGAACCCCTCCTGGTGGCTCCCTCACTGTGTGCCTTGGGGAAGTGGCTTCAGCTCACCGGGCCTCAGGTTTCCCTCTATGAAATAGGGATCCTGAACCCACTGACTGTGCCAGTCCCTGTGGCCCATGATGGGCGCTTGGTGGATGTTTGTTGAGTGACTGAATGACCGAAGGCAGGGAGTGATGACCACGTCCCATAGGCAGCCTGGCCCCAGTGCTCATCTTTGACCTCAATCACATCAGCACCTGGTGTGGCCCAGAGGGGACCTGAGGACTCACTCGTTTCCCTTTGGTTGGAGCCAGAGGTGTTCCTGGGGACATGGCGGAACAGCACGGAACGCCAGAGCAGGCTGCGGCTGGCAAGAACCATGGAGGCCTTGGGGGCAGCTACAAGGTATAGGGCAGGGAGGGGTCCCAGGGGCTGTGGGGCTGGGGTTGCCCTTGGGCCTCGGGGTCAGCTTCTCTGCCAGGCAGAAAGGAACAGCGGCCCTTCCAGCCATCAGGGGCTGGGAAGACACCTCGCTCACCATCACTGTACTGCGTCTCCTCTCTTCTGTGTCCTCATCTGCAGAAGGGAACTGGTTGCCCAAATGCAGCCTGACTCCATGGGGCAGAGAGGCCCGGGTGTCTCAGGAGACAGGGTGCTGACTCTCCTGCCTGACCGCAGTCCAGTTCCCCAGCTTCTCTGGGCCTCAACAGCCCCATCTGGAAAATGGGAGCAGTGCTCCCCATCTCAGCCCCCCAGAATTGGTGCTAAGGAGAATTCCAAAAGTGAGAATTTGTCAGCTCTTCCCTCTCCAAGCTGTTCCTAGGGGCTTTAATCTGAGACAGGGTCTGAGGATGGGCTGACTAAGAGGATAACTGTGGCAAGGGCATTCCTTCAGATGTGCTGGTGGCTTTGAAGAGAGTGGAAAAGAAGCAGAGGACTGCCCGGCACAGGGCCTTATTGGTAGGAGCACAGGGCTGGTCTAGAGACTTCTCAAGGACCTTGCAAAGCCCCAGAGGCAGCTGCCCACCATGAAGGTGGGTGCCACTGCCGGCCCTTCTTGTTCCCCTGGCACCTGTGGGCCATGCCCTGTCTGCACCAGGGCAGGGGAGAAAACCGCCAGCCCACTTCTTGAATACTGGTGCTTCTACCTAATGTGCTGTGCAGCCTGAGACAAGGGACTTACCCTTTCTGAACCTTCTATAAAATAACCAGAACAGAGGTGTCCCCAGGGATCTTCTCTGAAGACACTTTGTGCTTCTAGGTGGGTAAGATAGGTGTAGCCTTCCTCTTCCTTTGCAGCCTTTTCCTCTCTGGACATCAGACTGGTGAAGAGCGGCCCAGAGATTGCCAACTGGAGTTTTCCGTTGTCAGGCACAGGGAAATTTCACATTCAGGGAAATATCGCTTTCTGGCCTCTCCTGAGAAGCTTAAAATGGGGCCCACATTTCCTCCTGGCCATAAGCGGCTTCATTTCCTTCCCTGGGTCATTTCACTCTCCCAGATAGGGACCTGCCAAATGCTAGTTGCAATCCCTCCTTTAATTGAGGTTCCTGGAGGCGTTCCCTTCGATGGCCACGAGGGGGCAGTGCAAGCCCGTGGCCCGTGCTGGCTCCGGAGGGGTCAAGGCAGAGGGGATGGAGCCCAGGAGATGGATGGATGGTACCTCCCTGCCCTGCCCCAAGCGGGACTGCGCAGGCTGGGGTCTGGGCCTGGGACTGGGAGCCCGACCCCCCGTGGGGTGCTCAGGGTGCTGCCCTTTCAGGTCATGGTGTACGAAATGGAGAACTTCCAGGGCAAGCGGTGCGAGCTCTCGGCCGAGTGCCCCAACCTGACGGAGAGCCTGCTGGAGAAGGTGGGCTCCATCCAGGTGGAGTCTGGGCCGTGAGTACCTGGACCCCCAGTCCCCTCCTCACAGCCCTGAACCTCCTGGGAGGCAGGAGGGCCGGGTTCCCGTTCTAGATCTGCTCGGGGGCCATAAGCGACTCCATTCCCATCTCCGGCCTCAGTTTTCCCATCTATCAAATGGGGATAACAGCAGCATGCACTTCAGACAGAGTTTTTGTGAAAATGAATGGAAAGATGCACATAAATAACAACAATAACATAATAATAAGGTGAAGGAGAAGGAGGGAGAGGAATTTGTCTTTGGATTACCTACTATGTGCCAGACACTGGAAGGACGTTCCCGAGCACTTACACAGAGGCTGCATATAAAATAGATTCTCCATATTATTTCCCGGGATGATTTTCTGGCTGTCTCAGCTTCCAGGATGTTCTAGGAACTCCTTTAATACCCAGACCAGGGGTCCACGGTCAGGTTGGAGGGAGCGTTGAAGGTCAAAGGTCAGCAGCTTGGGGGTCCTTCCTCACTAGACAAGGGCCCTCCCGCAGCAGCAGCAGCAGTGACCCAGGCCTGCTTCCTCCTGCAGGTGGCTGGCATTCGAGCGCAGAGGCTTCCGCGGGGAGCAGTTTGTGCTGGAGAAGGGAGATTACCCTCGTTGGGATGCCTGGTCCAACAGCCACCACAGTGATAGCCTCCTGTCCCTCCGCCCTCTGCTCATAGTAAGTACCTCCCGCTTCGGGGACCTCCTAGAAGCTTGTCATCCAAGCTCCCTGCAGAAGCTCAGCAGAGGGCGGGGCTGGTACGCATCCGGCTTACGAAGAGCCCTCTTCATCTCCAACCTGAAAGATTGCATGGGATGAGAGGAAACTAGCTATGGTCATGGGGCTGGGGATAGGGACATGAGGATTCACATCTTGAATTCCCAGCACAGCATTGACACTTCTCTGTGTAACCCTGTTAAAAATCAGAAGCCTCATGGCCCAGCCTCGAATCAGTATTGTGCTCAAAGCAACACATTCAGAGAGTAGCTTCAGAAAGGAACTGATTCTTCACTTGCTTTCCCAAACACCCAGAAGGGACTCGGTCCACAGTGACACTTTTAAATTGTCACTCTGCTCCCCCCATCTGCTTCTTCCACTCTCAGTGGCCGCTCCAGCCCTCTCTCCGTGTCACAGTAACCGATGCCTGCTTGGATGACAGCAGGAGGAGAGCTAAGAAGACCACATCAGAGCCTGGTTTATAGAACAGGGAATCCTCCTCTGTGATTGACTTTTATCGCCTTCTGGCCTCTCTGTGCCTTGGTTTCCCTATCTGCTAAATGGTGGGGTTTCACAAGAGCTGAAAGGCCCCCTCTTGGTGTCATGGATGCCTGGCTCTAAGTTTCCTAAGGAGAGTGGCTCTGGAGGAACTGCCCCTAACCCCTGTCCCCTGTGCGGGCCTCTTGGGAATCCTATTCCTCAGACAATGGGCTTGGTGGTGGGCCTGGCTGTGTGGTCACTGAACTCTTCCCTGCACCTCCCAACTCCTACTCTGAGAGTGGGAACAGGCCGCTCACCCCATGATCCCATCCCCAGGACGGCCCAGATCACAAGCTGCACCTGTTTGAGAACCCAGCCTTCAGCGGCCGCAAGATGGAAATAGTAGATGATGACGTGCCCAGCCTCTGGGCTCATGGCTTCCAGGACCGCGTGGCGAGCATCCGGGCCATCAACGGGACGTAAGGGACCCATTCCCCACTCCTGCCCCTCCCCATCCTCTGGCTCCAAATAGAATCTCTCTTCACTGTGTTTCCTACCCAGTGGCTGCCCCCTGCTCTTCTAGGTCCTTTTCATAATCCTGGTCTTTCTTACCAGGGTAAGAAGTGACATAGTGGTTCTCTAGGTAGGAGCTGAATAGCACATGGGAGACTACATGGTATATCACCTCCCTCCTTCCAGGCTTAATCCCTCTGTTAATGCAATCTTAAGATCACCTTCCCTTTGTCAGTGACTGCATCTCACCCTATGGGCTGGGGTTGAGCCTTGAAGGGTGCCACCTCTCCCTGACAATAATTTATTCAACAGCTTTTTACTAAACATTTTTATGTGTGGAGTAGAGGAGCAACGAGAATTACACAGCCTCTGCCCTTAAGAATTTTAGTCTGCCAGAGAGACAAGGAGACAGGTATCCACAAGTCACTGTGATCAGGATTGCGATGGGAGGGGGACACACCAGGGCTCTGGGAGTCCCCTCCAGGCACTCGATTCAGCCTAGGGGAATCAGCAAGGGCTTTCCTGGAGGAGGAGACATATAAATTGAGATGAAAAGAACACGAATGAAAAGGGAGAGAGGGCCACGGATGAGACGAGGAAGAGCATTCCAGGCAGAAGGAACAGCCTGTATAAGGGCTCAGAGACACTCCACTTCAAGGAAAGTAGAGTAAGAGAGGTTGGAGTATGGGGTGTGGAGAAGGAGCATTGAGGGATGAGGCTGGAAATGGTTCGTGCAGGACCTGTGAGCTGGGTAGTGAGTTTGATTCATCTGGAGGGCACTGGGGAGCCAGGGAGAAATTTAGCCAGGCAGAGAACATGGTCAGATGCTGGCTTTAAAAGTCTTGGTGTGGCTGGAGGCAGGGAGCTGACCGTCCTCACTCTGACCTTGGTTCCCGGCAGGTGGGTTGGCTATGAGTTCCCTGGCTACCGAGGGCGCCAGTACGTGTTTGAGCGGGGCGAGTACCGCCACTGGAATGAGTGGGACGCGAACCAGCCGCAGCTGCAGTCCGTGCGCCGCATCCGCGACCAGAAGTGGCACAAGCGGGGCTGTTTCCTCAGCAGCTGAAGGGCACCCAGGCCCCAGTGGCCCAGGCCTGCCCTGGGGGGAAGCAGAGGCAAGAAAAGGAGGCTCCAGGGCCAGGGTGATGGTCTGCCTGTCCCCCCTTCCCCAGAATCTGCTCAATAAAGCCTGGGGCCGGTCCCCCACCTGCCATGTTCCTCTGTGTCCCTTCTTGAAGGGGCTGGGGCTTTGGGGTTCTGAGAACCCCCAAGGGGGGCTGTGAGCTGGGCTCCTACCCGAGGCTCTGGTTGTTTTTGGCAGAATCACATGAGCAACTTGCACTGATTTTGTGTTTGTTTTCCTGTGTTTCCATCTTTCAGTCTGTCCATCCATCCATCCATCTGTCTATCCATTCTTCCACCCACCCATCTTTCTATCCATCCTTCCATGCATTTTTCAATCAGTTCTTTCCATCCATTCTCCTATTGATCCATCCTTTCTGTCTCTCTCCCATCCATCCATCCATCCATCCATCCGTCCACCCATCCATCAATCCATTCTCTCATTGATCTACCCATTCTATCTCTCGCCCACTCATCCATCTGTCCATCCATCCATCCATCCGTCAGTCCATCTGTCCGTCCATCCATCCATCCATCCTCCCATTGATCCATCCATTCTATCTCTTGCCCACCTATCCATCTCTCCATCCATCCATCCATCCATCCATCCATTCATCCTTCATGTCCCCCTCCAACTCTCTGTCAGTGTCTGTTTTCATGAATTGATTCAGCAAATGCCAGGCCCTGTCCGAAGCCTGAGGACACAGCAGGGAACAAAACAAAGTCCTGCTTTCACAGAGTTCACCTTCTAGGAGACCGACAGGAAACAGACAAACAAGTAGATTCTGAATCACGCTACAGAAGGAAATGCAATATTATGATGGCAGCTGATGGGGGGTGGGGTTGGTTGGTCAGAGAACTCTGCTCTGAGGCAGTGACATTTGAGTTGAGACCTGAATGAACCATAAGAACATTCCAGGTAGAGGAGTAGTGGGTGTGAAGGTCCCAACCAGGAGTGCGGCTGTGTGATGGAGACTTGGTGAGGACCACAGTCGGTCCAGAAAGGAGTAAGCAGTTCAATGGGGGAGTGGTCAGAGAGGGAGTGGGGTCAGAATAGTTAGGGCTCCACATGGAGAGTCTGAAGGAGGCCAGATATGACTTAACAGGATTCTTCTGACTGTAGAGCAGAGTGTAGACCATGGGGCCACAGGGGATGCAGGGGGCTAAGCCGGGAGGCCACCAGCTGAGCCCTGATGGTACGATCTCTCTGACTGTCTCTTTTCCATGTGTTGGTAGCTCTGTCCACCTCCCAGAGGGCTTCTGCAGCCTCAGCTGGAGAACTGAGCCCCCATCCCACCTCCCCCCACTGACCGTGACTTCTCCCATCCTCCGTGCCTTCATCTGGCCGAAGGGGGATGCCATGGCAGGGCCAGCCCTAAATGGGGGTCTCCTCTGGCCCCCGTGGGATGAGGAGGGAGTGTCCTCTCAGAGAGTCAGGTGACAGCTGGCTTCCTGCAGTCCCAGGGACCTGACTTCAGCCTTCCCATCTCCATGAGCCTGTCCTGTGTGCTTCCCTGATTTGGTTCCCCTGTTGTGCCCAGAGCCGGTCCCAGCCACCTGCAGTGTCCCCACCACTGATGCAGCTGGTGTGGGGGTGGTCTGAGGGAGCCTCAGGAAGGCGCTGAAAAGAATACAGCAATTGTGGTTACTTAGCCTACATGTTTAAAAATATATATGCACAGCTGAGCCATCACCTTGAATTATTTTTACTTTGGGGTGTAGGGGAGAGCTGGGTGGGGCATCAGGCTTGGGGTGGAAGGTGAGGGACACTCAGCAACAAGATGGATCAAGGGCAGGGTTGACTTCTCCCCCAGAAAGGATGGCAGTACCCCCACTCCTCCCTCCTCCCCCTCCCTCTGCCCCCGAGTCTCACCCCCTCTCACAGACAGAGATCTTGTTTTGCTTTGTAAATCAGTCCTTACTCAATGCTAAACCAAGCGCTAGGCTTGTTGGAACTTGATCTGGGTCACTGAACCCTAAGATGACCTCGGAAGGCAGGCACTGTCGCTCCTCCAATTTCACAGATGAGGAGACCGAGGTTCAGGGAGGCGGCATCACCTTTCTACCAGAAGGGTTAGAGCTGAGGTTTGCACTCTGTGTGCGGAAGCTAGAACATTCGTTCCTGAGCCCGCCTCCCTGCGACGTGTGCCTCAGGGGCAGGGACACATGGCAGAGAAAAAAATCAATAGCAGCAACAATAATAATAGAAGCCACCTACTGTCCCCACAATGAGCAGAATACAGTGAAGGGTGCTTTACGGTGTCATCTCTAACCTGCTGACAGGCGACACTGATCCCCGTGGGCAGAGAGAGCGATGGGGGCCCAGAGCCCTGAAGAAATTGCCCAGAGTTCTATAGAGTGGTGAGAATAGCACTCAAGTTCACGTCTGCCTCCAAAGCTCATCCTGCCCGTCCCCCACCCCAGCCCCAGCCTGCCAGCTTGTCCACTCTGTGGTTGGCCCCTGGGGTTTGCAGGTGGACTGACGCTAGAGGTGGGGTGTCACCAGACCCAGATCCAGGGTCACACGCAAAGCCTCCAACCTGTACTAACCGTCTGGCTTAGGGAGAGCTTGCTTTCTGCAAGTACTCCAAGGCATTTTCCCATTCAATCCTCCTAATGGCCTGGGAAGCTCAGAGAGGGAGAGCTGACTGCTGGGGTCACACAGCCTAAGAGGGGCAGAGCTGAGATTTGACCCCAGGCCCATATAACTCCAAGAGGCCATGCTTATCTCCTCTAGATGCAAATTCTAGCTTCTGCAGGGACAGAGTCTGAAAGGGATAATAAAATAAGAGTATCTCCTGGTGATAAGGGGGTTGTGGGTGAGGGTTAGGAAATCACTTTACCTGTTTAATCAAGAGGCAATGTAGTCTACCAGTTAGAGGAAGCATGGTCAAGGGGTAAGGAGCAGAATGACTGAATGGGGCTCTTGATCCTTACCACTTGGTGTCCTTTCCAGGCTCTACCACTTGCTGTGTGCCTTTGGGCAAGTTGCCTAGCTTCTCTGTACCTTGATGCTTTCATCCGTAACTCGGGACTAATAACACTACCTATCTCATAGATTATTGTGACTATTTTTTTAAGATGTTATTTATTTATTTGATAGAGAGAGAACAGAAGGATTTATTTATTTGATAGAGAGAGGGAACAGAAGCAGGGCGAGTGCGAGAGGGAGAAGCAGGCTCCCCACTGAGCAGGGAGCCCGATGCAGGGCTCCATCCCAGGACCCTGGGACCATGACCCGAGCTGAAGGCAGACGCTTAACGACTGAGCCACCCAGGCGCCCCAGGTGTTGTGAGTATTAACACGAATGTAATTTGCAGGAAAGGCAGAGAACAATGGGTAAAACAGAGGAACGGCCTGGTAAGGGATAATCTTCCACATCATCATCGAAAATGGTGACTCTGGAGATGGACTCCATAGTTGTGTGGAGCAGGGACTTCCCAGTTACTCGGTAACGGGGGTTTGTCCTAAGGACTCCAGCGCAAACAAGGACATAAGGCAACTTGGCTGCATGGTGAGAATCCAAGCTGCACCAAGGCTTCACTGGGAAAAGGGGGCCTGGAGGTGAGCCAAGCTCATGGAGGCAGAACTGGAGCCCAAGGGTTCTTGGGAGCTGGGCAGCAGGCTCTGTGGGCATTCTCCTGGGACCTCAGCCTTGGCGAGCCTCAGCGAATGCATCTCCCACTCCTCAGGTGAGAACTTGCCCAAGCATTCCTCCCCATTTTGTGAAATCATGGGGCCCATGACAGTGTTGGCCGTGGAGTTGGCATCGGTGATAAATCACCACTGGGCCAGTCCTCACGTGCGGTTGTGTTATGTTCAATATGGTTGTTCCGAGGCATGTGAGCATGTCAAATGCATGTTCTGTTCAATATCACTTTCTATCCAAACCTGTCTATGATAAGTAGCACAAACACCTCCAATTCCTTTGTTATTTCATCTGGTATAATCACTGCGCTCAAACCTTTCATATTGAAATACGTATTATTACACCTTTCATTTTATTATTCCTTTATATTATAGATAGGGCACTTTTGGATGAATTTAATTTGAAAGCAAGAACATATGGGGATTATAGGATCAATTTTGTTCCAGGAAAGCGGAACGTCACAAAATGAACGTCATGAGAAGGGAGTGTTGGTTCTGATGGAGTTGAGAACTTTTCCACTCAAGGATCTCGAAGGTTCTTAGCTCTGGTTCCTGCATCTAAGGAGTAAACTGTGTTTGGGGACAGTAAGGCCTATCCTCTTTGTAGCAACATGAGGCAGAGAGGAAGTCCAAATCTTCTCTTCCCATGTATCAGTCAGGCTATGCTGGGTAACAAACAGCCCCCAAGTCTTGGTGGTTTAACAGTGATGGTTTATTGCTCATCCTGGGTGACATCTCTAATGCTGGTCTAATGCTGGTCTTCTTCACCCAGTCATTCATATACTCTATGAATGACTCTACCCTCTTGTAACAATGCTTCTCAGGGCAAGGGAAGACAAAGTGCTGGAAAGTCTGTGATAAAATGACCAGACATCTGAGACATCTCAGAATCCATTGGCCAGAATGGATCACACAACCTCATGTCATTTCAAGAAGACCTGGGGTAACCTGCTCACGGATACACCTAATTGGCTGCTTTCCCTTCCCTGCGGATTGCTCTTGGGATCAATTCTCCAATAAACTACCTGCCTGTGAACTCTTATCTTAGCGTCTGCTTCTGGTAACGCCCAGACTAAGACACCTTCGCTCATCTCTGTATTTCTTATTCACTGATTAATTTGAACAGTCAGCAAATACCTTCTGAGCACTTACGTTGTGCTGGGCCCAGGCAGGTGCTAGGGGTATGGACACGGCTGAGCTTGGACCAAGGTCAAGGCCTAGAAGGGCAGACAGCTTGGGACACACCGAAAGTTCGCCCCACTAGAGCCTTTGGTGGGAGCATAACCCTCCTTGATTTCAGATTTCTGGCCTCTGGAACTGTGTGACAATACATTTCTGGGGGATGGGCTTGTTCAGACATTTTCATTGTGCTAAAATATACTACGTAACATCGAATTTGCCATTTTAACCATTTTACGTGTGCAGTTCGGTGCCATGAAAGTACCTTCACATTGTCATGAGACCAGCACCGCCGTCCGTCTCCAGAAATTTCTCTTCTTCTCACACTGAGACCCTGGGTCGGTTAAACACTAACACCACCCCCACAAACCCGTCCTCCCTCCCCCAGCCCCTTGCACCTGCCAGTCTGCTTCTTGTCTCTATAAATTTAGCTACCCCAGGAATCTCATGTAAGTGGCATCGTGCAGGATTTGGACTTTGCGGCTGGTATATTTCCCTTAGCATCATGTCCCCAAGGTTCATCCATGTCCTAACATAGGTCGAATTCCCTTCTTTTTTAAAGGCTGAATTGTATTCCCTTTTATGGATAACTTCTGCTGATGCATTCACCTGTCAACAAACATTTGGTTTGTTTCTGCCTTTTGGCTACCATGAACATGGGCATTCGAGTATCTGTTTGAGGCCCTGCTTTTGATTCTTTGGGGTTGAGTATCCATAAGAAGAATCACAGAGTGATAGGGGAATTTTACTGATAATTTTTGGAGGAACCACCATCCTGTTTCCATAGAGGCTGCACTATTTGGCACCCCCCAGTTTCTGTTGTTTTAAGCCTCTCGGTCTCAGTCCCTAGCTATGGCAGCCCCAGAAAATGAATAAACCCCCTCCCCGCCCCCATGCATCTGCACTCCGTGGGTTCCACGGTGAACCAGGCAGGCAGTGGCCCTCCCCCCGTGAGGCTTACCTTCTAATGGGAAAGATGGCGAATAAAGGAACAGCGTCATGTCAGGCGGTGAGGAGTGTTACAGACAGAAGCAGCATGGTTGTGTGTCTGTCTGCCTCTCTGCCTGTCTGTCTGTCAGGAGCCTGGAAGGTGGGGGAGAGCAAGTCTCACTCGAATCTGGTCTCCGAGTCCCAGGGCTGTTCCCTCTCCTGCCTGATCTTGGATCTGGTCAAGACGCAGGCTGGCTTCGAGAGAGAAATGTGGAGGAAATGTGCATCAAGGCCAAGGGCAGATGGGGCAGTGGGTGCTTGTAGGACCCAAAGCCCCTGAGGTTTGGAGAAACCTCTTGGGGGTGCTCTTAGGACCCACTTAAGAACAGCCGGTGCTAGGACGGCCTGGGGTCTTCAGCGGGAAACTTACCTTCCTTGTCTGTAACATCAGGCCGCTCTCCTCCTTGACTCCCTGGCCTGGTCCCTGCCATGTTTTCAGCTTCATTAAGATCTTCAAATAACACACTAGCTTCCGCACACAGTCCCTTTCTGTTTGGAACTCCTTCCAGCCTGGTTTCCTACGTTAATTTGTACCCAGACCCGAGGACTCTGTATCTTCCTGGGAGCTCTCCTGGACCGTCTAGACTGGGATGGAGTCCCTCCCTGACACTACCCCTGGAACAGAGCTTGGCACCAAGTAAAATGTCTGATGAACATTTGTTGAATGAATGGATGGACGGGTGGGTGGGTGGATGCCGGTCCCTGGCAAGCCACTCTCCTTTCCTTGTTTTTCCCTCTCACCCAGGGCCACTGAGATTTGCCTCTGTCTGCCTTCCCCCAGGGCTCTACTGATCACACCAGTGAACCCAGCATGCCCTCGGTCTTGGCAGCCGGACGGCTGATGCATGCAAAGTGGGCATCCCCTTGCCCAGCCGCCTAACCACCCTGGCGCGGCCGAATCCAAAAGCTAATGACATTATTGTGCAGAGACACAATGTCTGTGGGCATTTGCTGACCCGGGCTTTGGTGTAGGCTTAATCCAGCATTCTCATCCTGCTTTCTCTGGGGATGCAGCAATCACCCGTCTTGGCACCAGCACTCCTGGGGAAGGTATAAATGCCACCTCCTGCCGGCCACGCTCCACGGGCACTCTCGGGGGCTGGTGTCACTGGTAAGAATGCCTCGCTTGCTTGCCTTGCCTTTTTCTCTCATCCTTATTCCTGATGGAGAGCGTGGGAGGCCTGGGTTCGAATCCAGGAGCTACCCCTTTCGGACATGGAGACCTTGGGCAAAGACTTCCATGCTCAAAGCCTCAGTTTTCATTTCTGTTAAATGGGGAGATGGGTCATAAAACCTTTTCATCGTGGGCCTTCGAGGTAACAGTGGGTAGTGTGGCACATAGCTCGGACACAGGCAATACTCTATTAATAAGAACCGGTCCACCAGCATCTTTGTTTCGGTAGTGACTAGGGAGGAGACTCCAAGGGTTTGTGCGTGGAAGGAATCAAACCAGTGAAGGTTCAGCATCGTTTCTAGGCCAGCCCTAGAGCCAGCCCTCCTCATTTCCCCATTCCCAGGTGCCTGCTCCATGTCTAGCGTTGGGACTATTAGTGGCTAGGAAGCCGCCAGGGCTCTCTGAGTGCTCCTAGCAACGGGATTTCAAGGCCGCTGAAGGTTGGTGGAAATAACCCAGCTAATGCCATTGCAGCGGCTACTTACCAAGCGCCCCTGCCAAATGCGTCCAATCTTCCTGCATCATGGCATCCAGTCATCACAACCTGTTCATAGACACTGTTGGGCGCCATGACTGTCCCCACTTGGCAGAGTGGGAAACTGAGGCACAGAGAGGATGACACGCCCAGGACCTCAATGCCAGTGGACAGTGGAACCAGCACCCCCACAGTGAACCAACTGAACTTAATCTTAAGCGTGAAAAGGCTGATGACCAGGGCTGCACTGCTGGGCCTCTGACCCTGCAACAGGCTCTCAGGGCTGGTTACTTAGGAGAGAAGAGCAGGTTTGGCTTCCAAGCTGCTTATTCGAATTTCTTCTTTCTGGGGGATGGCCCAGCCCAGCCTCTGGTGTGGAAAAGGCTTCTGGCAGCTGGACATTCTCTCTGGAGCAGGACCTCTGGTCTCCCGTCCTCAGTGGGGACACACAGGCTTGGGTTCACTGCCCCTCCTGTGGGAAAGAAGACAGTGCCGGCATTCCAGACTTTTCTGACGTTCTCTCCTGCCAAGGAATGCTCCTTGCGGCTGCCTACCACGGTGCCTGACAGTCCAGCATCACACTCACTTCCTCGCTTCCTGTAGTTTGCCTTCCATCCCAGATGTGTGCACTCATGGAGGCGGGGAAGAAGATGGACAGCAAAGAGGAGCTTTCGGTGTTCTGGGCAAGGGGCGGGGAGGCAATCTGGAGGAGGATGGTGGGGTGAGAGGCAGGGAGGATAGGGGGCTCTGTGAGATACAAAGGGGGACCCAGAGTGTGGCCAAACATGGCCAGTGTGTGGGTGCTGTGGCCACGCTTTTCTTCCGGTAGGGAAATTTCTGCCTTCTGCTTTGCTGTCTGGAGCCAACTGACCGGGACCCATTGGGGAACCAGCTGAAGCTCTAGTTTACCACCACTTCCTTAGTGGACCTTGTTTTCCCCTCTGGAACTGGCCTAGACACAAAGAAATGAAGCTAAGGATGGAATTTCAGACTGCTTCTCTTGGACCCCGCTGCTCTGGGACCACCGGAGACCAGGGTGATCAAAAGCAGGCTCTAGGGCTGGAGCAGAGCGGCCCGGGGGCCCCCAGGTGAGAAAGCTGGGGGCCCAGAGAGGTCCTCATGACCTCCTCCCACATATTTTCCAGGTCATTCCTCCACAGGACCACCCACCATGGCCTCAGACCACCAGACCCAAGCGGGCAAACCACAGCCCCTCAACCCCAAGGTCGGTACCGTGGTGGGAGAGGGCAGGGCGGGCGAGCAGAATGCCTCTTCCAGCCTCAGTTTCCCTTCTGGAAAGCCAAGTTGGCATCTTTCTTCCTGAAGCTCCCCTCTCTGGGCTTCCGTCTCCCCAACTTGCGTCCAGGGTAGGACGCTGATTCTGCAGGCCCCTCCCCAGCCCACAACTGGCACGCCAAGATTCCTGACACTGGTCTCCAGCGTTGGTGACTTCAGTGTCTCGGCCTTACCCTGTACCTCAATGCCCATGGAGGTTCCCCGGAGCTGGGGCAGACCCACAGTCCAGTGTGAGAGGAGGCTTGCAGACAGGAGCCAGCTGGGATTCCCAACCTGCTGTGTGTCCTGGGCCAGTCACTTGAACTCTCTGAGCCTCAGTTCCCTTCTTTGTAAGACAGGGAGAACTGGATTCACAGCACATGGTGGATATGATGAGACAAAGGAAACCAGATCACCCTGGAGTGTGGTGTGTCCATGTAACAACAGGTTATCATTTTGCTTCCTTGTCGACCCTGCCCTCCTACGACCCCAGAGGGCAGGGGAGGGGTGGTGGATCCTAGCCCGACAGCCGAGGCTCATCATACCCAATCTGTACCCAAGTTTCTACCAGCAACCATCCACCTGGCCGCCTCTGCCTGGCTCCGTCCTGTGGCCCTCTGCTTCAGGGCCCCTGGCCAGGCACTGCCCTCCCGCAGCCCGGGAAAGCTTGAGCCGATGCAGTCCCCCTACCCATTAACCCCATTCTTACTTTCTAGAGGAAAGACACACAGCAAACAAACAAATCTAGGACTTCGAGGAGTGGGAAGTGTTTCAGGAAACATGAAACAGGGAAGGGGGTGCAGAGTCAGGATGAATGAAAAAAGGTGGTGTTAGCAGAGGTGATCAGGGAGGCCTCTCTGAGGGAGGTGGCATGAGAGCAGAGATCCGGGTCAACAGCCCTGTGCGCCAGGTGGGGGTAGGAGAGAACATTCCAGATGGAGGGCGCGGCGAGTGCAGAGGCCCAGAGGTGGGCGTGAGCCATGTGAGTCTGAGGACCAGTGCAAAGGCCTCTGTGTCACGTTCAGACCCCCTCTGTCCCCTAGAAACAGAAAGCCAACCGCATATGCGATTTAACATGTCCTAGCCGCCGCGATAAACAAGGACAAGAAAACAGAAATTAATTCTCGTATTCTCATTCATTAAACCCACTAGAGCCTCATGGAGAATCAATAGAATCCTTATGAGAAAGTGATTTTCGATTATTTCCTTCCTATTCTAAATCTGCAAGATCCCATGTGTCTCTTCCGTGACAGTACATCCTCGTTTGGACTGGGCGAGCACATTCCACAGACACAGGAAGATTAGATATTGTGTCAAATGTGAGTCCCCATGTGGTAAGCCCCACAAACAATAGCAGTAATAATAACACTGAGCTTCTGGGCTCCCTGAGGCCTTGTGGATACAAGGAGAGGCTGATCTTCCTTGTCCTCCTCCCCCCCCCCGTAAGCCCTCATATCCAGGCCAGGGTTGTCACCAACCAGCCCCTAGCATCCCTGTTCTTGAGTCTCCCAGTACCCTGCAAAAGAGGCGTGATTCCCCCATTCTACAGATGGGCCCCTGAGGCTCAAACCAACCAAGTTGCTTCCCAAGGTTGTGTGGCCGGATACAATGAGGTGACAACGGAGCCCGTGTCCCCTGACCCTCCTGCAGTCTAGTCAATGACCACAAAGGCTGGACTGAGCCCATGGAATTTGTCTCAGAGCCCCACGGGGCCTCCTGGTCCTGGCTTTATCTCGCTAATCCCCAGCTTGGGAGAGAGGGATGTGTTTACCCAGCCAGTGCTGACCCTGTAGATTGTGCAGCCGTTCCCTCTGGGAGCCCGCTGCCCTGAGCCCTGCCCTTCCCCCAGGGGCAGCTTCCTGGGGAAGTGCGGCCACAGAACCCCTGCCCCCAAATGGGCTCTGCAGTCATGGAAGGTGGGAGCTGGCCTCCCAGTTAACATTCTTTTTTTTTTTTTTAATATATTTTGTTTAAGATTTTATTTATTTATTTGACAGACAGAGATCACAAGTAGGCAGAGAGGCAGGCAGAGAGAGAGGAGGAAGCAGGCTCCCTGCTGAGCAGAGAGCCCGATGTGGGGCTCGATCCCAGGACTCTGAGATCATGACCTGAGCTGAAGGCAGAGGCTTTAACCCACTGAGCCACCCAGGTGCCCCCCAGTTAACATTCTTGGGGGCTCCTTCCACCTCCTTGATGGGGATCCCACTGTCCCCTTCTCTGGGCTGCTGAGAGTGCTAGGTGACGCAAAGGGAGGGAAGCCCCTTTAAGAAGCATTCCGGGGGGGGGTGGTCAGAAGGGGCCCTGCAGAACCAGGGGTGAGATGGTGTAGATGTGTAGGGTGGTGGACTGGCTCTAGCAGGAGCAAGAGAAGTCCTACCTCACCTGTGAGTTCGTGAGAAATTCAGCCTCTGGGGCTGCACCCTGGGACGGGCTGTCTCAGAAACCACATTTCCTCAAGACCCCAGAGGTTTTGTGTGCACGTTAGTTTGCAAAGGGCTGCCCAGATGGAAATGGCATCAAGATAAACTTGGACTCCAACTTCAACTCTGCCACTTAGGCCCGAGGGCTCTGTAAGACATCCCTTAATTCCCAGGAGTCTGCCTCCCACACACAGAGCAAATACTGTGTGCGAACCGTGACTCTTTGAATCCTTCCAACAACCCCATCAGGTAGGTTCTGTCATTTCCCATTTCACAGATGGAGCAACTGAGGTTCAGTGAGGCAAAGTCCTGGCTCAAGGTCTCACAGCTGGGGACTGGCGGAGCCGGGGCTGTCTGACTCCCTGTTGGGTCTGTGACTCCTGAGAGAGGAGCCAGGCAGCATCCCCGCAGGCTCTTGGAGCCCCCTCCCCATCCCCAATGCCCTGCTTCCCTCCCCCGCCATGGTGACGGGTCTGACACTCTCCTCCTGCTACAGATCATCATCTTTGAGCAGGAGAATTTCCAGGGCCACTCGCATGAGCTCAGCGGGCCCTGCCCCAACCTGAAGGAGACTGGCGTGGAGAAGGCGGGCTCTGTCCTGGTGCAGGCTGGACCGTACGTACCAGGGGTGGGGAGGGTGCACAGGCAGGGAGGACTCACCTCATTGGGGGCCACCACGGTGAGGCAACTGGGCTGTGGAGCTGGGGGGATATGCCTTTATTGTGCCCCCTGGACTGTGCGATTTGGTGGCTGGCAGCCTCTGGAGACGATTTGTGCTTTGTGGTCAGGTAGAGCTGGGTTCAAATCTAAACTCCACCAATTTCACGGTGTGTGACACTGGACCAGCTACTTCCTTCTCTGAGTCTCATTTTCCAAAGGTGAGAAAAGCATGATCCCAAGGCCAGCCACTTCCTCGAGGCAGGGAGATGGACAAAGTGACTCTCGTGGAGGTTTCTAGAGTTGCCAATCTCTGGCTCTGGGAGTGTCCTCCCTCTCCTGTGAGGTTTAAAGTCGGATGTCCCAGCTCTGTATTCACCGTCCCCTTCCCTGATCCCAGCCTTACCGGATCTCAGCAGATTCACTGGCACATTTGGGGGCTAGCAGCCTTGGGTCCCTGACCCTGGAGAGAAGGCAAGGTGGCTAGTAAGATGTGACTCTGCCCTAATTGTATCACATAGCTGGGCAGCCCTCAGGGGTCCATCCTTCTGGTTTCCTGACCACTCCATCTTTGCAAGAGCCTCAGGAATTGGGGGTGGCCCCCCGTGAGCCCCTCCCAAGAGGTCAGGGATCCTGGGGGTTGGGGGAGGGTTGGGGGTCCTGGGTGACCCATCCCACAGCTCAAAGTTCTCAGGGAATTCTGCAGAGTGCAATGATTTCACTTAAATCAGAGTCTGCAGGTGTGGAGAACACAGCCAAAGGAAGGGCCCACTCGGGCCTCCATTATTCAACATACTCAGAGCATCTGGTAGGCCCAGGAGAACGTCTTCCCAGACAAGTGAAGTTTTGACCACTTAAACACTGTATCTGATTCTCAGTTGCCTTTTTATGTTAACATTTGGATGGAAGGATTTCTCAAATGGACTTAACACCTCTCTACTTTCTTTTTTTTAGAAATAGAACTTTTCATATTTTTAGTAAGGATTATTGATGGTTCAGAATTGAGTTCTGGACGACTGAGGCGATTCTGCTCTTGGATTGGCAGCATCTGGATTTTGATGGGGGAGTGGGGCAGGTGCTAGCCCCGGGGGCTCTAGCCGCTTGGGAAAGCTGGAGATGGCCTGACCTGCCTTCCTTCTGTCTCACTGCAGCTGGGTGGGCTACGAACAAGCCAACTGCAAGGGTGAGCAGTTTGTGTTCGAGAAGGGCGAGTATCCCCGCTGGGACTCATGGACCAGCAGCCGGAGGACGGACTCCCTCAGCTCCCTGAGGCCCATCAAAGTGGTGAGGCGCCTCTTCTCATTGCCTCCTCTCTTGGCCACCTTGGAGCCGGGGCTCTACAGACCAGGATGGAGACTTCACCTCCAGCACTGGGAGCTTTCTGATGGGTGGGGTGCACTTCCTGTGTCACCTAGCATAAGTCGTTCATTTCCCTGAGCCTCAGTTTCCCCATCTGTAAAATGGAGATACTCAGATCTTCTGCCTGAGGTTCCTCGGGTTAGAATCCATCACAGAGCAATTGCTTAATAAACAGTAGCCATCCCAAATGTGAAAAGATATTCTGGGATTGGGTGTGGAAGAAAAGGTGGGTTAGCTCGTGTTCATAACTCATGTTGGTGGGACCTTCTGGTGCTTCTCTGATCCTGATTCTTACTGGAATGTGAACTCTTAGGGAGGGCCCAGGGCCCGGCAGTGCCCAGGTCCACTCCCAAGCCTCCTTGAGGCAGACTAACTCTCCCCAGAGCTTGAGGGAAGATTGGAGAACTTTGGAACTAGTATCCCATGGACCTGGTTTCCTATGTTGGCTCTGCCGCTCCTAGCTGTGTGACCGTGGGCAAGCGGCTTTACCTCTCTGAGTCTCGGTTTTCTTAATGGCTGGATAGCATGAGAGTCTTTAAAGGATTAAAGGGGATGACTAAGAAAACTGTCACAGGAACTGGAGGATGGGAAAAGGTGTGGCAAGGAAGGAAAGCCAAAATACCCCAACTGCCTGCTTGGGGCCCCACCAAGCCTGTGTCTCTCTGTGTGTAGATTAGGACTGCCATTTTTTTTTTTTTTTTTTTAAAGAGAGCTGAGGGAAAAGGACCTATCAGAATTGAATGTGCCTTAAAGTATAGACTCTTGAGTGCAACATGAAGACAGCCCAGTGGGACCCCAAGAAATGGCTGGTGTTTAACTGCTGTTGGTATAGACACTTAGGTAGTAGGGGTATGGGACAAGAAGTCTATAGCGAGATTGTGCTGATCCCCATGCTGCGGCATCCAGACAGGTGGGAAGGCTCACCCTGGACTCCTCTCCTGCACTCACTTTCTCCGATCTCTATCCATAGGACAGCCAAGAGCACAAGATCATCCTCTATGAGAACCCCAACTTCACAGGAAAGAAGATGGAAATCATAGATGATGATGTGCCCAGTTTCCATGCCCATGGATACCAGGAGAAGGTGTCATCAGTGCGGGTGCAGAGTGGCACGTGAGTGGAGACCCAGCCCCTGCTACCCCTGCCACAGGAGCCCAGACTGCTGGGGTCCTAAGTCCCACTCTGCCCTGTACCCTGCTGATCTTGTATACTTGCGACCTCAGTCTTCCCTCTGGAAAATGGGCATGGAAATCATGAGCTTGTATGTGGCTTTCAGCCCCCGTGGTCCCATCCAGATCTTCCCTTTGGGCAAATACCTACTTCTGGAGGAGAGAAAGCATGGCCTTAAACTCAGTTCCCAAGAGCAAGACAGTGAACATTAGTGGGGTGCAGATGAGGCAGAGGGGAGACCGGAAGGGAAAGGATGAGTTGAGTGGTCTTAACACTGCTGTGAGAGGCAGGAAGTCCAGCCCACGCTGCTTCTTTACTGCATGGGTCCCGTTAATAATTTAAGAATCTGCCACAAATCTGGACTTCCTCCCTGAAGGAGGGACTCTTGAACTCAGATCCCAAGAAAGAGTAGGAAGTACAGGTATAAAGAGAGGAAAGAATGTCATTCCAGAGAGAGAACAGCATGGGCAAAGGTCCTGTGGTCAGAGGAGCCTGATGAGTCTGAGGGACTCTACAAACTCTAGACTGCCTAGGAGGTGTCATTTCCCATTGAATTAAAGTTCCTTGATACATAGACTCTGGCCATCACCTATGGGGAATTTCTCCTTGTGCCAAACTTCGATTCTCTGCGGGTCCACAGATGGGCTATGGGTAGTGGCTTGCTGCAGCCTATTCATACCAGCTCACGAGAGCACATTCCTCAATTTTCAGAATTTTTGTGAGCTGGTTGTTGAAACTTTGGTAGGTCAAAATCAGCCATAGTGGGAGTATTTATACCACTGAAATTGGAACATGTTTAAAAATCAAGACTCTTTTGCCCTCCAGAGAGCTGGTTGGCCAACATGTACTGGCTTTCTGGGGTTCATCAGGTTCCTAAAATTGTGTGCCAAGTTCTGTGTTCATGGTCCTCTTCATTTATTTCTTCATTCATTGTTCAATTGGTTGAGCCCCACCACTTGCCAGGCATCACATTCAGTGCTGAGTATATCAAGGTAGATTAAAGAGGTCTGCCTTCTGCTCTGTAGAGATAACAGCCTAGCTGGGGTCAACCGTTAATAATTTAAGAATCTGCCACAAATCTGGACTTCCTCCCTGAAGGAGGGACTCTTGAACTCAGATCCCAAGAAAGAGTAGGAAGTACAGGTATAAAGAGAGGAAAGAATGTCATTCCAGAGAGAGAACAGCATGGGCAAAGGTCCTGTGGTCAGAGGAGCCTGATGAGTCTGAGGGACTCTACAAACTCTAGACTGCCTAGTGCATGGGACACAAGACCAAGATGTAGAGCTGCAGGTGCACATAGGCATTGGCCAGGCAGGTCCTTGTTGGCCAAGACTTTGTGTCATTTTGAGGGGAAGAAACTGTAACTCTCATTAGGTGCTCCAAAGAGTGAAGGACCACCCCTAGATTGTGATGACTTCAAATGACAAAGGGATTACCGAGGGCTCCTGGGACCTAGCCTCCTCTCCTTTGGCCTTGCAGCCAGGCATGGAGATGGGATGAGGGTGGACAGAGGCAGTTAGGAGACCTGTCTTATTCTAGGCTTCAGTAGGCTTGAGATCTCCCCTTACTCTGATCCTAGCATCAGGCCTTCAGTCAAAAGTTGCTTCAAGAGGTAGTGAGCTCCCCATCAGGAGAAGGAAGAAAGCAGGGGCAGGATGCTGGAAGGGTGGTGTTCCTGCTCAACAATCAGGAAGTGAGAAATGACTGGGAGCTCCCCCCTTCCTAGCAGCTTAAAGATGCTCTCTATCCCTCTCTCCCTCTTCTTCTGCTTCTCCTCTGTCCTCCATGTCCCCTCCTTCCCTCTGGCCTGCAGGTGGGTCGGCTACCAGTACCCTGGCTATCGCGGGCTCCAGTACCTGCTGGAGAAGGGAGACTACAAGGACAGCGGTGACTTTGGGGCTCCCCACCCCCAGGTGCAGTCCGTGCGCCGCATTCGCGACATGCAGTGGCACCAACGGGGCGCCTTCCACCCCTCCAACTAGTGCCCGCCTTTCCCTCCTTCCCAGGGGCTTGGTCTGCTGCCCAGGATCCCCCCCAGACCTCCTGGCGAGTGAATAAAGTGTGACTTGCAATTTGTGTTGCATTGCCTTTTATCCCCAATGGGAACTGGAGCGGGTATTACGTGCGTGTATGTGTGTGTGTGTGTGTGTGTGTGTGTGTGTGTGTGATAGAGAGAGAGAGAGAGACAGAGACAGAGACAGAGACAGAGACAGAAACAGACTGAGAGAACCAGAGAGTGTCTGGGCTGGGGCAGGACAGCAGAGTCCTTACTGAGGCTCTTGGCTGTGTGACCTTGGGCATACCGTCCAACCTCTCTGAGCTTCTGTTTCTTTGTCTGCTTTACAACCGCCTATGCCCCATGAGGGGCTGGCTGGGCTGACCTCCTAGCTCCCTTTTCCATGGTTGCTGAGAACCACCACTTGCGGGGGCACATGAAGGATGCTTTGGCCCTTAAAAATATACCCGCTGCCTGCCATTCCCACATTAGGGTGTAATCCCCTTGAACGCCAGTTTTCTTAGATCTGCCAGAGGAACCAACAACCCTGCAATCCCATCCCATCCCATCCCTAGTCACACGTCTCTGCCTTTGTGTGTTCTGTGCTCCCTCTTTCATTATTTGGTGGGCTTGATCACTTAGCATCGTGGCAGGCCTGGGTTCCAATGGCTGTTCTGAGTCCTGGCCAAAGATCTGGCCTCAGACAAGTCATTTTGCCTCTCAGGGCCCCCATCTTTGTACTTGGGGAAAAAAACAGTGCCTCCTTCATCTGGTTTCAATGGAGATGAAATAAGACAACTCAGACATTCTCCGGAAAACTGGTCATCATTTGCTCGTTATCTGTAGTGCAAATATCTACTCCCAGAGGGTAACTTCTTTTCACTTTAGATTCAGTATCTTTGGATGTAGTGGTTTTCACTTTTGATGTCGTCTAACATCACATGTAAATTCTCAGTCTTTCTGGAGTTGGTTTTTGCTCCCTTTGGGCCCCTGTTGTCCTGGGACCATTTCTTGAGAAGTCCATTTCCCCCTCTGTGGAGCAAGGCCACCTCTGTCTCATACTGGATTGCATATATGCTCATGGAGAGCCAACCCTGCTGACACCTTGACCTTGAACTGCCAGCTTACAGCATTGTGAGAGAATAAAATACTGTTGCTTAAGCCACTCCGTTTGGGAAACTTTGTGATGGCATCCCTAGGACACTAATACAGTGATGGCAAGAGGAAAGGGCCAAGAACACCAAGAGAAGGCAAGGGTACTGCCTGGGGCACCAGACCTCCCAAGGAAGTGGGGGTGTTGGAAGAAGCGTTGGCATCTTCCAGGCAAATCGTGGGGAAAACAATCTTGGCAAGGAGAACAGAGTATGCAAAGTCAGGGATGCATGAAAGAACGTGGTCCCATGTTCTAGGCATAGGGGCCACTTCAGGGCATGAAAACTTTAAAGGTTGGCTTAGCACAAAGTCCTGGGAGATTGCGTGGTGATGATCATCATCATGATGTGTGTGGTGGGTAGCACCGACAGGATTTCCACTTATCTATTCCTGCATACCAACACACCCAAAACTTAGTGGTAAAATTACAGCAATCATTTGTTTTGCTCAGATGTGTCATTTGGACAGGACCTGGTAGGGACAGCTCATCTCTGCTCCTAATGGATTCATCTAAGGTAGCTCAAAGGCTGGGGGTGAGTCCCATGGCTGGGTGTTGGTGCTGGCTGTTGGCCAGGACCTCAACTATGGCTCTCAGATCAGACACCCCCCAATGTGGACACTCCACACAGCCGCCTGACCTCCCCATAGCACGGTAGCTGGGTTATAAGAGTAAGTGTCCCAAGAGAAAGGTGGAAGTTTCATGGCATTAAGACTTAGCCTCAGAAGCCATACAGCATCACTTCCTCCATACCCTATTGAAAGGGGGTCATATAGGTGGACCCAGGCTGGAGGGGAGGAGACGCGTCCCCACCAGTCAATGAGAAGGTCAGTGTACGGGAAGAGATCGATTACGGTGGCCATCTTTACAAAACACACTCTGTCAAGGGAAAGGAGATGCTGGGAATGAGCTTTGACAAGGTGGAACAGACAGCGGGGGTCCACACGACCGTCGGTGGGACACTCTATGAACCCCTCGCCCTCCCCAGTGAAAGAACAAGGCCGGACAGGATGGCCGGTTGAGGTTGCTCCTCCCATAGGTTGCTTTGATTGTTTCTCGTTTTCTTTGTGTTTCCCTCTCTCTCTTTTCCTCTCTCTCTTTCTACTTCCTTTTGTCTCTCTGAGGACCTATCTATATCTTGGCTATCACTGCCTCTTTCTGTCTCTCTTTGCGTTCCTCTCTGTTTATTTCTGTCTCCTGCTTCCTTCCCTATCCTTCCCCTTCATCTTCTTCCCTCCCTTTCTCCGTCAAGGGGGCGCTGTGCTCTGTGGGTACCTCTCCCCACCCCTACAACACCTCGAAGCATGGATCCCTCTGCCTCCACTCAGGTCTCTCCGGGGAGCCAACCCCCTAGGCGCAATCCCACTTTTAGCCACCAGGTGACAGCAGAGAGCCAGCCTCAGGGTTGCTCGCCCTGGAGGGTCCGCTGCTCGGACCCTGATTGGAACCGAGCCCTGTCAGTCACAGCTGCTGCCGGAGCGGGGAGGCGCCCCAGAGCCTCTCCCGGGACAGTGGGGAAACCGAGGCTCCAGAGAGCGAGGTCTCACTGGACAGTGACAGAGAAGCGACAGGCCTTATGGTCCTGTTTTATTCTGCAGCTCTCCTCCCCAAAGCTTTCTGGGAGGGGACACGGACTCAGCACCGTTCTTTGCATGAGGAAGGTGTTTCCAAATCACTATTTCACCCACTGTCACTGGAAGCAGACAACAAAGACTCATCCTGCACTCAGACGTGTGGCTTAGCGTAGACGCTCTGTGCCTCAGTTTCCCCCGAGAGGAGAGAGACTCTACTGCCCGTTCATAAGGCTGCCATGAGGATTCAGCGAGATGCCATGTGTGACATGGCAGTACCAGCCACGGAGCAGGGAGTCAGTAAATGAACACAATGTGACAAGTGCGAAGGGGAGGCTGTGATATCCTGCGGGGCGGACAGGGCGGGCTCCTGGGAGAAGGTTTTTAAGCTGAGTTTTGTAGGACGAGTAGGAGTTCTACGGGTGCACAAGGACAGAAGCACCTTCAGGACGTTCACTCACCAGTTTGCTCATTCACTCCCGTCGTCTTCCACCACCTTCTCTGTTCTCTTCTCAGGCCTCACTCTTCCTCTCCTGTCCACTCCCTCTGCTGCCTCCTTCCTCTCCCCTTTCCTCCTTTTCCTCCTACTGCTCTGAATTCCCTCTGCCCCACTTTTTGTTCATTTCTCACTTGCTTCTTCCCTTTACCTCTTTTTTCTTTGCTCTTTGCCTCCTCCCCATGGACCAGGGATCTGTGTTTCACTGATGCAAGGCCAAGATGAGAACCAGGTTTCTAGGGGTTTGTATTTCTGTAAATAGTTTGCCTTTCTGCATCTTTCTTTAAAATAAGCAAATGACGTTCATGAACAGTTTACAACTAAACCTGTTCTTGCAGGAAGTTACTTTTTTTTTTTTTTTTCCGTTAAAGAAGACAGAGTTGAGTGAATCAGGATCTCCTTCCTTTCTCTATTTTAATTCAGGCACAAGGAAAGACCAGCCAGGTGGGCCATATTGCCATTTCTAAGGCAGAAGTCAGAAGTTTTGGTCCAACATATTGATCTAAATATTCGTCAAATCCTACCTCACCCCAGACACTAGCAGGTGCTTTATTTTATTTTTTAATGTTAATTATGATTATTTTTTCGTAATCTCTACACCTAACATGGCGCTTGAACTCAGGACCCTAATATCATGAGTCACAAACTTCCGACTGAACCAGCCAGGCGCCCTGAGTAGGTGCTTTTTTTTTTTTTAAGGATTTTATTTATTTATTTGACAGAGAGATCACAAGTAGGCAGAGAGGCAGACAGAGAGAGAGGAGGAAGCAGGATCCCCTCTGAGCAGAGAGCCTGATGCAGGGCTCGATTCCAGGACCCTGAGATCATGACCGGAGCCTAAGGCAGAGGCTTAACCCACTGAGCCACCCAGGCACCCTGAGTAGGTGCTTTATATTCATGATTATCCCTGGCTTGTTCCATCTGCATTCAATGGTCTGCCCATCAAGCCCTCCCATAAGGCCCCCACCTCCATGGCAGATGTAATTGCAATTATTCACAATTTGTTGGACTCTGCTTCCCAACTGGAACGGAGCCTGCAGGAGGGCAGGGAAGGAGGTACTGCTCACATCTCCACACTGCACCATCAGCACGACCACACAGCAGCATCCCTAACATGCACAAGTGGTGTGCTAACTGGGCATATGTGCAATGCCTCTCCCCCTTCCCTCGGAGAAGTCTGTCCCTGATTACCTGCTCCTCCTTTGTAAGTTTTCAAATACTCATGCAGCCGGGACAATAGGGAGGAAACGCTGACCGCCCCCCTGGTACCCTGACCGGCTCATGGTGGGCACTCAGGGATTGCTGGCTAATTTTCTCACTCTGACCCACAACAACCTGTGGGTTGTTCCCATTTTCAGATGAGCTCTGAGGTTCAGAGAGGGGGCTGTGGTTTGCAGAAGGCCACACTGGCAAGAAGTGAGAAAGCCGGAGTTTAAACCCAGGGCTCTCTCTGACCCTCGGTCATCGGCCTCTCTGGAAGGTCAGGTGTTGCCCTGTGGGGCTTCTGGTACTAGAGATGCTGATGGGCAGGGCACCCTGACCCCAGCTTTAAGAATAGTCCTTTCCTTGTCCTTCCTCCCTTGGGTCTTTGATGCTGGCTGCCTGGCTGGCTGGTCCCAGTGACCTGGGGCTGCTGACACAAGCTCTCCGGGGTGTGCAGGCTGGACAGTGACAGAGGTTGGCATGGCAACATATTCTTAAAACCAAGGGTTTGCTCCCGTCATAAGGAAGTAGTTCGGTGGTGCTGGACTTGGCATCAGGAAGCTTTGACCAAACTGTCCCGAAGGAAATGCTTGGAAGGGAAAGGGTGCGTGA